CATTTGGAACTACCGGTACAACAATAGAGGTAATAATTGCCCTTATATTACTGGAAGACCGTTCACTAAGTAATTTCGATGTAAATGGAGCTAAATATCGTTCGCCTTGTCCAGAAATGTAACTATTATATTAGAACACCAAAGATATTTAATCTTAGCACTTTGAAAATTCATTGAATAACTATGAGAAACGACCGAAATTGTTGTTGATTTTAAAAATCTTTAAATTCAATTTGCACTTGCATTTTCTGCTTTAAAGTTGTGTTCTGCTCAGCCAAAAACTGCAGTTTCGGACTGGTTGGATGAATGACAAAAAAATGGTGTTCGATTAAAACGTGAACAATTTAAACGGCACAATTTTGATGTCAAAATAGGATGATTTATCTTAAACCACAAAATATTTCTGTTTAATGAGATACAGATTGCACGTTAGCATGCAAACAATAGGTGGTTTATAGTTTGTATTAATCTAACACTCCCCTTATTCACCAAAACTGACCCCATCAGGCTATCATGTTTTTCATTAATTGCTATTTAACTGGGAATAAGCCACAATTAAAGATAAAAATACGTTTATTGACGTTTCAATTTCCAATTCGGAAATCGTTCTCAAAATACAAACAGTAAATTAAACAAATTTTGTTTTTTGTTACGTAGTGAAAAATTCTTCTAATAATTTAATTTTATCTGACTCATTTATATTGACGATTCAGACATACATTATGCATTTTAAAGTAGACGACTTTAAAATGATATTGTCAATATTATTGAGTTGCGCTCCTGGGACGACTTTACTTATAAGATAGTTCATTCGATTACATGAAATCAACTTTAATTTGAGAATATCCGTCAGAAACAAATCATAGCATACAATTCGTCTTTAAAAAGACAAACACATGACATGATGAAAGTAAAATTCTCCTGTTAGTGATTCCATAGTAAATTATGAGGGAAAAACCAGGAAAAAAACCTCATAATACTATCCCGACATGGTAAGTATTTGTTAGTGCAATTAGTTTACCTTCAATAAACACCAAAATTCTGATTTTATATGTTTCGTTATTTATAAAATAGGCAATAAATTCAACATTTCAACAACATTCAAAACAACAAACACGTTGAGATCTATTTTGTCCAAAACCAAACCTAACGATGAACAAGAAAGGACAAAGAATTGCATTTATAAAATACCTTGTGAATGCGATCAGTTTTATTTAGGTGAAACATCAAGACCATTAAATGTTAAAATAAGTGAACATCAATCTTATATTAAAAATAGAGAATTTGATAGATCTCAAATATGTAAACACGCATGGGATAATGAACATAGGGTTCAATGGAATAATTCAAATGTAGTCCTAAAAGAGACGGATGGTAAAAAAAGAAAAATCAAAGAAGCGGCTTTAATTATGCTAAATGAGGCCAATTGTGTCGCACATTCCTCGGCAGAATGTAGTAGGATCTGGTTACCAATATTGAAAGAGGAAGTTATTAATAAGAAAATACCAGTATTAGTAAGTCAGTAACATATAGAGGATACATCATTTATGTTTTTTAAATAACGAAACATATAAAATCAGAATTTTGGTGTTTATTGAAGGTAAACTAATTGCACGAACAAATACTTGTCTTTTTAAAGACGAATTATATGCTATGATTTTTTTCTGACGGATATTCTCAAGTTAAAGTTGATTTCATGTAATCGAATGAACTATCTTATAAATAAAGTCGTCCCAGGAGCGCAACTCAACAATATTGGCAATATCATTTTAAAGTCGTCTACTTTAAAATGCATAATGTATGTCTGAATTGTCAATATAAATGAGTCAGATAAAATTAAATTATTAGAAGAATTTTTCACTATGTAACAAAAAACAAAATTTGTTTAATTTACTGTTTGTATTTTAAGAACGATTTCCGAAGTGGAAATTGAAACGTCAATAAACGTATTTGTATCTTTAATTGTGGCTTATTCCCAGTTAAATAGCAATTAATTTAAAATGCCACAAGAAAATAGCTTCAGAACAATATCATGTTTTTCCTCAATTGATAAAAAGTTTAAAAGGTAAATTTTGTTCTAACAAAGAGATGAAAGAAGCTGTGGAGACCTAGTGTGTAGAATAGGGTATTTTTTTTAAGTAAAAAGGTGTCGCAGGTTTATTATAATAAATGTTTTCCATTAAGAGAAAAGTATGTTGAATAATAAAATATTTTAAGTTTTAAATTGTTTTGGGTTCTATTATACCAGCGCTGTAGATTATAGAAACAGATAACTGTGCCTTTGCAGTATGCCTCTGGTAATAGCATGAAAATCCTTTTTCACTATAATGTGTGCTTAAACTACTTGAACTTGCGGCAAAAACTCATAACGAAATATTAGGAGGCAGTGAAATAATGGTAAAAAGATCTATTTCCGCAGATTTTGGAGCCACTAGTATCTTTTCCTGCCTGGCACCCGACTAATGTCTAATTTTTCCTTGGATAATTAATGTAAATAGACGGTAGTAACCGTCTTAATATTTGGCCTAGGTATTTAAAATTTTCTTTATTTAATTGTGCTCACGATTTCTTTTCCTTATAAAATTCTGTGGATCTTATGATGGTGACATATTCGGTCCAGGATATGCGAAGAATGCGTCGGTACAAGTCTCTGTCAGCGCTGTCTTCGATATTCGTATATTCATAATTTTTAAATATTGAAGTAAAATACTTCTATCTCATACAGTACTCAAAGTTTGTCTAAGTAATTTATGTCAAGTCATCATCATATTTTGACATCAAAAACGTACAGTTAAAATATTTACACATATTGATCAAACATACACATTTGTTTGTTTCTGAATATAATTTTTACCTATTTTTAGCAATAATGCGTCAAAGTATGACATATTCATTATTACCGAACATATATCATAAATATCCAAATATTACTGGATAAACCAAACATAATTTTAAATGGCACAACCTATATATTATTTCATAATTGGATTACGCTTATTTCGCAGTATTTCATACTTCCAATATAAGTTACCTATTTCAAAAGTTATGGTGAATTGTATAGAAAATCATTTTTATTTCGAGGCCGCAAAATCTGTATCCAAAAAGCTGACATTCATTTTTTGCAGCAACCTTTTTTATATTTATACAGGTTTGCGAAAAGGTGTCTTCTTTATTATTACAACAATTTAGTTATTTACAAATTTCTACTGAAATGTACCTGGAACATTTCGAAACAGCAGCCCTGTCCTAATCAAATCTCAAACCCACCTGCTAGTTACGGTATATTGATGACACTTTTGTCATTTAGCCCCATGTTAAAGACACATATCTCTTTCTCTCCCACCTGAATGGAATACATCCCATCTTCCCAGTATTCAATTCACTATGGAAGTTGAGTTTGAAGCGTCTTTACCATTCGTTGATGTTCTTATTCAGAAACACCCACCTCACAGTTTTGCCTACTCCGTGTATCGGAAACCCACCATACAACCTTTATCTCAATGCTCAGGCACATCATCACAAATATTCTTACAAAACGGCTACCACAAAACCCAAAATAATATGAGCATTCAAAAACATTTAAACCCCTTTCCATCTAAATAAGAAACATTGCCGCCTGATCAACCCAAAATCTTTCTACCTTTTATTAAATGTGTCACTGATAAGTATCAGTAGAACTCTTAACCGTCTAAACATCAAAACCATCTTCATCACTCACTTCAAGTTGTCCAATCTCGTCAGATCCATAAAAGATGAAATCCCCAATGAAGACCATGGTGTCTACGACATATCTTGTTCCAATTACCCACGTACATACATAGGACAGAAAAAATGACGAATCCATAACCGTATTTACGAACATTCTATATCTGTAAAACATTCCGATAGTACTTCAGCCCTAGTCCAACATCATATTCAGACAGGTCACAAAATAGATTTCGAAAAAGCAAACACCATCGCTACATCCGCTCTTAAACTCGAGAATCATTCGTGAAGCCATCGAAATAGCAAAACGGCCTAACAGCTTAAACACTCGCGATGACGCTAAACGACTGCCTACAACATGGCGACCGCTGCTTCAGCGACCCCCGCCCCAATCCAATCCCAATACTCAAAGTATTAAAAGCAGCTACACAATCTTATAACAAATATGCCGATATTATTATAAATAATAAATTTTATAATGATCATAAAATAAAAAAACAATTATTGGTTTTCTCTATTTGCCATAATATATTTTTAATTGAAATTTTTATTATTTATTAAACTATAAAAAATTTGAAAACTTCTAAAATTGTTTGCCCATATTCGTAGTCGCAATATATTTTGCAAATTAGCATCTAAGGTTTAAAAGTTTCGCCACAATTACTGTGTGGGATTTATTATAATGTTGAAATAAGAATGGCTTTCGTATACAATATCCATAATGATTTAAATACCCTGTATAATGTAATATAACTTTATATTAGACGTATGAGCGAAATTATAATCTCAATCTGCAACAGTATACATAATGTCCTACTTAGGAACATATTTGGTTCAACCTGGTAATATGTCACTAACCTGTAGATACGAAAGTGATTTTATAATGTGCAGTGTAGAGTTGTCTATAATTTTTGTAATTAAAGTTATAACGTTTGGTGATATGTTCTATAATAAAGAATACATCGTACTTTGACGCACTCTTCATCTGCCTTTGCAGCATACTCTCATAGTTATTGAATGATCACAACTCAAGATATTGAGCAACGACCCTGAACTCTCGGGAGAACACAAGAATTTAAGTAGCATATTCTTTGATACGCTACCAGTTACAATGTACGCATTAGTTAATTATGTTCACCACTTATAGATTGGTAAACATTACTCACAAAACCCAAATATTATTATATTGATTAAAATATTATTTCGAGAAAAACTTCACAAACAAAACAGTAAAATATAAACAAAAACAAACGGCGACGATGTTAAACATAGTAGTCGTCGCCGTCGTCCAAACCTCAAGACAATTGCACCTTTCTACAATTACACAGCCATTTGATGATTCGTGCGTTCCTTTCTACGATCGATGGGGGATCTCCGGATCTATACGCAGAAGGGCAATATTCTACGTTGTCGATGGGTCTGCTTGAGTCAACTGTCGATACGTCGGAGAAGAAAACTGGACTATCGGTAGAATCACTGAAAAACAAAATTAATGTTTTATGTATGTTATACAGATTAAAATATTACATTAATATAAAAATAATCCTTTATATCGTCACTTGGACTGCAAAACCTTGTAATTGAATCGCTATATCGTAAGTATTATATCATTGTAACAAACCATGGCCCCTACGATTGTGACGCCTATGGAGTGCGCGATTATTTAGTAGACAAACCGCGAGATGTGTATTTTTCGCGTATTGTGAAGGTCACATCAGACTGCTTTATTAAATGGGCCCGTTTTCTATGAATTTCCAATTTCAGTTAGAACTTGAAATATCAACAGAATACGTAGCGGCATAATTTTGAATCTGCTAAAGAAAGGTCGGCAGTGTTCTAGATAGCTAACCCCTGCTAAAATCCTGATGCATTCTAAAAATTTAAAGTCCATTTGTTGAATTGTCCCATATGATTAAAGCATAGTTTAAATACACTGCAAATGAACATGAAACGTGCTTACAGTACCTTGTCGAATTAGTTTATTTTTATAGAAGTTTGTAGAAGCTTCTAGGTTTCTTTCTCCGTCTTCTTTATGTGTTGAAAATTTCTTTTGAAATTAAATCTTCTAACTGCAGCTTCCTTGGGCCAAATATTAGGTCTGTAAGGGAAATCGAAAGGGAAAGGTACCTTATATGTGGAGTATTTGTCAGTTCTATGCCATTCCACGCAGTTAAAAGTAATATCGGGTGCCGTCTCATCCAAGAATTTTAGAAGATTCATCTGCTTTCATATCAAGATCTATGCGGAATACATGTACATAACCATAACATTTATTATTTCTTAACAAAAGCATTAATGACGTAGTTAAAGATTTTTATGATATTTTATTTTATTTAATCGAATTGTTTATACCATTAAAAAAAATTTAAAACATCTACATATCCCAAATGGTTTACATCAGAGTTAAAACATTTACTTTATGAAAAGAAAAAAGCACATAAAAAATTTAAAATGACTGGTGGTGATGAGAACTATTGTCTTTTTTCCGATCTCAGGGAACAATGTAAAGAGCTTAGCTAGTATTTACAAAGGCGTCATGTGAATGAAATTGAGGCTAGCATTTTTCATAATTCTAGTTCTTTCTGGAAATATATTAATAATAAACGCAAATCTCATATTCTACCATCGAGTATGAGTTATGGTAATGAAAGTAGTGAAAATGGTTCAGATATTGTGAATTTATTTGCTGGGTTCTTTTCGACTGTCTATAATAAAGAAAAAATAAATCAGATTCCTAATTTTAAGTACGAAAATTATGTTAATGCTAATAATTATTTAATTTATGTTAAGGATATTATTGATAAGATACAGAATAATCCGTGGAAACTGACAGCGGGTCCAGATGGTATACCAATGTATTTTATTAAAAAATGTGTATTCACTCTTGCTAAACCTATTCAGTTATTATTCAATAAGTCCTTAACTTCTTCTACATTTCCTGATTTTTGGAAAGTGAGTTTTTTAAAACCCATTTTTAAATCTGGTCAAAATAATAATGCTGAAAATTACAGGGCTGTTTGTTTGCAGTCTGAACTACCAAAGTTGCTTGATTTTTTTGTTAACCATATGTTAACCTACGATTGTAAAAATTTAATTCTCGGTCAACAACATGGTTTCTATCAAAAGAAATCTACTTGTACAAATCTTATTTTGTATTCAAACTTCATTGTTGATTCTATGGAATCGGGAAACCAAGTTGACTCCATATATGCTGATTTTGCCAAAGCATTTGACAGGGTGAATCACGAAATATTAAGTGCTAAACTTCGTGTATACGGAATTGGAGATAATTTATTGGATTGGATCACGAGTTATTTAACAGATCGTTCACAAATAGTAAAATATGGTAATTTTGTTTCTGAAGCGATTAATGTTACTTCGGGTGTACCTCAAGGTTCTCACTTAGGCCCACTTCTATTTAATCTGTTTGTGAATGATATATCATCAGTAATTAATAATAGTGAATTTCTATTGTTTGCTGATGACATAAAGATCTTTAAAGCAATTAAAAATACCTCTGATATGGATGCTCTTCAGTCTGACTTAAATAATTTATCTCGTTGGTGTGACATTAATGCCTTATATTTAAATATAAAAAAGTGCTATAAAATTACGTTTTCCAGAAATACTAAACATCAGTTATATAGAACATACATACTTAAGGGAGTATCGATTACAGAAGTAAATCAGATTAGAGAACTTGGAATTACATTTGACCAAAGACTAATGTTTGATAGGCATATTAATAATATTACATCGCGGGCTTATAGAATGCTCGGCTTTGTTCAAAGGAACTCCCGAGAATTTTCAATATTTACTTTCAAAATTTTGTATTGTTCTCTAGTTCGGTCCATTTTGGAATATTGTAATATTATTTGGTATCCATATTATAATATGTATATTGATCAGTTGGAACGAGTTCAAAATAAATTCCTAAGAATTTGCAGGTATAAAATGGGTTTTAATAGAACTAACTGTGATTATAACTATATTCTTTGTCAACTTAATATGAAAACTTTAGAAAATAGAGAATCTGAGTGTGAATTGCGTTTTTTGCATAAAATTTTTAATGGTTATGTTGATTGTCCGGAACTGCTGGAATTAATTGTTTTTAATGTAAATTCTAGAAGAACACGCTCTCCTGACCTGTTTAGACTAAAGTTTCATCACACTAATTATGGTAAAAGTGAGTCAATCACAAGGATGTTGAGAACTGCCAATAATTTGCAAGATAGTGTTGAATTGTTTAATTTATCCGTGTCCTCGTTCAAGAATAGTTTAAAGAAATTGAGACATTAATGTTATTAATACTTTTTAAAATTGTAATATATGACTACAGTTTATATGTTAATTATAAGTATATATTGTAATTTTTGTAAGGAAAAAGGGTTCATCCCGTTAAATAAACAAACAAACAAACAAACAAATAACCTTGTCTAGGAATGGTGTTTACAGTAGACGATTCGTTGCTTCCAATAATCGGTTTGTATTTGTTTTCTTTTTTCTATTGGGTATTCCAAGATAACTGTCCTCTTTTTTAGATTGTTTTTATTTTCTTTTTGTTTATCGCTCATGCATGAATGAGGTCGACTTGTGTTTTTGTGGGAAGCACATCACCTCTAGTTTTTATTAACGGCACTTTGACAGCTGGACGATATATTGATGAAGTACTGCAACCGGTTTTACATCCCTACCTACAAACCATTACAAATGCGATCTTTCAACAGATACCGCAAGATCTCATATTGCCCCTGAAACCTTTAGAGTGGCCATCAAGATCAGCTGTTTTGTCAGCCATCGAACATGTGTAGAATATGGTAGGACGAATCCTAAATCAATTACCACGTCCTCCAACAAACTTAGTAGATCTGTGGCGTGCCATAAAAAGAATCTGGATGAGTATTCCGCAATATGATATAGACCTCTCAATTTGATCAATGTCCTATAGAGTAACTGAGTGTATACAAAATCAAGCAGGAGCCACTCTTTATTAATTTTTTGACGAAAATGACATTGCAAATGTGTTTATAATGTTAATCAATATTATAATGTATACTTCCATAAATATATCTTTTAATTATACTAAATTAACCAACAAAAATGTTTTACTGTACCTGCGAGTCAACATTTCTTCGTAGGTATCTCCAGAAAGCCCCAGATGTTCGAAAAAGTGCTGAAGTTGTGGGGGTTCGGAAGATCTTCGGTAGCGATCGCTGATATCTGATTTCGACCTTAAAATAGGCCGATCTCGTTTGTAGCGCAAACATTTTTGACGTTTGAAGGTAGCTGGTGGTTGGGGTAATCCAGGGGACAATTGGGGAGGATATGCATGTCGTGCCGCTCTACATTCTGCTTCTTGGCAACAATAGTACGAGCTACCGCCGCTGTGCTGCGTACTTGAACCGGAATCACGTCGAACTTCCTATAAGGAATATGTAAATTACTAAAACAATCTACAAACATCGTACGCATATGCACCACAAGAATAGGCCGATCTAATATATCCTACAGTATAGTGATGTAAATGAAAATATTATTATTTATATCAAATTATTTTAGTCTATTGAAAGTATTGACAAGAATTGATACACAACCTGTCGAGGTGGCGGTGGCGGTTCACTTCTCTGAGTATAATGTCCACTGGATCCTCCGCTATCCCTATTCGATAGACTTTTGTTGCTACTTTTATTCGAGCTGGGTTCACGGCAGTGCAAATCGGGAAGGCTTTTGTGACATCGCTGTGCGTATTCTGCCGGTGGACTAAGAGGCGCCATCTGGTCAACTCGCAATTCTTCAGCACTGTCACACACAAGTAATTGACGTAACCGATTTTGTAATAAATCGGTATTCGCTGTTGAATGTAAAGAACGGCGATGTGTTAATGGAGGAAGAGATCTTGATGGAGATACGGCCATATCTAAAACAGTGTAAATATTCTTAAAAACTTTGTTAAATTGCAAACTATTTAGAGAAATTTTAAAACTTCTTTTATCTATTTTATAAGGGTGAGGTTCTGACGTCGTAAATCTTGAATGACGTGCAAGCTTTTTTATATGGAAAATACTATACATGATATTTTTATTTAAGAAAAATGTTGAGTCATAATTTTGACAGGTGTCAATAAATAAACAAATGAAATCTACCAGAATAGCTATAAGCTACGTAAATAAATAAAAACATGTCGTTTGAGAAATTTCAATGTAAGCTAACGAATATCAAATTATTAGGGACAGTCTGTATTTGCTTTACACAGTCACTACTGAAAATTAAACAAATACAACCCATTTAAAATAATTTTACAAAATGGCGCCCATCTACCATTTCGAATTAATATGTTACTAAAACATCATAAAACAGTATGCATCCTTATAAACAAGACTGAACAGAAAAATGAGGGACAATATTGAAGACGGAGAATATTCAAACATTTACTTGTATAACATCCTTCCAAAAATAATTTTTCCGCAAATCGCCAGGAAATTTTGACATTCCTGTCAAAATTTCTTGAAGAAAAAGTCAGGCCTTCCTTACTGTAAGGAAATGTCATTTCCTTACTGTAAGGAAATGATATTTCCGTACAGTTGTTAGTGTTCTACATAAATTTTGACAATTCAACCTCAATACGTTTCCATAGCAATCCAAGTAATTTTATTAGGAATTTCAAAGCACCATTTATTTGGGAATAAAATTATCGGGTTTTTTTAAATCAATCAATATCTGTCGAATTTTAAACGATTTGTGGAAAAATAGTATGTTTACCTCGTAGGAAAAGCCACATTCCTGGACTCTGTGTTGCTAAGTCTCGGCTTGCGCCTCGACTTAGCAATCTTCACAGTCGTCCAGGAATGTTAAGCTTTTCCTACCCGGTAAACAATGTACTATTACTTGTATATTATATCTTTGACTTTGCGGATATGGACAAAGGAGATGGCTAACATAATCAAGTATATAATCTTATATGGTGAATATAAATAGGTACTTAATAATCAAAATCATAAATAGGTCTTTCAAAAACGATGCACAGTTAATTAGTCAATTAATACAATACAATTAACTGTAAAACTATAATATTATATGTCTAGATTACGTATTATATTACATTAAAATTAAATAAAACAAATATAACTTACAGGGCGGAAGAGTTGTAGGTCGATAGTTTGAGCCGTGGCCAGCCACATTAACAGATTTACTGCGGGTATATGTACCGTAAGTACTTGTATTAGAATTAGGCCTTAAAGGAAGAACCTGTGTGGTATCTCTTACAACTTCAGATTTGACATAAAATGGCTTACTCTCCGCTAAAAGCTCTACAGCAGACTTTCGTTTGGTTCTCATACTCTGAGATTTTGTTAAACTTGGATACATCATCGTCGCCATTTTGATAAAACAACTTTTCCAAGTAGTAGCACCTAAAATATCATATAATGTATTTAAGTAATTATTTGTAGCCACATTGCAAGCACGGCTAAGCTCAAAGTACGAAATATTTGTACGAAATTTATAAACCATTTCTGAGGGCGGCCTTAAATATTCTTGAGATGAATAACGTTGACTACCGCCTATATGATATATTACAATATAAAAGTAACAACATATATAGTTTGCAAATTTTTTGTAATTGTTATTAAATTTGGATTACTCTTACCAGTGCGCCACCAAGGTATTTAGTGTAGGTATATCTAGTCGCTCTGGCAGAAATATTGTAAACTACGTCTTAAGAAAATCGAAAGTAAAGCTAATTGTAGTGTCTATTATGTCATGACAATCTAATTTTTCTTGTTAAAAACCTATAGAATACAGTTTTCCCTACCATTTCCTTACAACAGGATTGTAGAGGAGGGTCGCCTAATATTGGATACATTTTTTTCAACCACTATTGTTTTGTACAGATTGCAACATCTTTATTTTCCAGTTCAGTCTCATTTAATTCTCTTCGCATGAATAAACAGTTACTGTGGTTTCTATATACTACATAGGACCGTGTTGTTCTAAGTTGGAAAATAAACAAAAATTTGTGAAAAACAAAGTCGTATTTTTAACATAGGACTATATTGCGCTCTTCTCATATTTTCACAACATACAACAATGATTTTCGATTAATTTTAGAGGATTGCGTGCATATATTTTAGATTTAAAAAGTTCTATGGGTGCCTTATGATACATAAAACCGGTTATCTTAAAGTTGCTGATTTTTTAAATTTTGTTAGATACATTCTTGTGGCAGGCACGTCGCTGCCTGAGTATTACACACGACGGGAATATAAATAAGAGTGGGGTATTATTAAATTCTGTCGAACATAACGATTTAAACAGAACCAATTACCCCGATACAATTTTTTATATGTTTATAATATTTTAAATCATTAACTCTAATTATACTAGAGTTTCCCCTAATTGTCCTTGACATTTATCGATTAAAAATACATTTACTATATTTTATAAAATGTTATAGTGTAATTTGGTCGATTAACAGTAAACTGTTTCCAATTTTTTTTTTGTAACTTATTGTACTCTGTGAAGATAAAATAAAAATAATTTAGTAATTTATAACTTTCTTTTATTTAAAGTAAATTATGATAGGTATTTTGCTGGTGGGTCAATCCATGCCAAGTGGTCCAAAGGTGGATGCTTGACTATTTTTAATATTTCTTATTTTTCTACCTTTTATACTTCAGTCTATAGACAGTACAAAATTGCATTCATTTTATTTTTAAAAAATTTATTTTGCCGATGGCGGCCATTTTTGTTTCATCGTGTCTGTCATTTTCACGGAAAACATGGCTTCATTCTTTAGCCAATATTTTCACTTAGGTTTGTCCTAAGACAATAAATCAAAAACCTAATTGTTTGGAAAAGTATGTTCTAAAAAATGGTCCATAGCATTATTTAATTACAAACTACCCTTAATGCCTTAAATTAACCTCAAAGTTTGAAAAGTTAAACTGATAAAATTCCGTTTTCACCATTTTTTTTTTAACAACATAAGGGAACCTGATAATGGTTTGTAATTTTTTTCTGGAAAAGACATACATACATACTTTACAAGAAAAAAAGTTTGAGCTTTGAGAATTAAGTCAATTTTTTCAAAAAAAATCTCAAATATATTTTTTTGAAAAATTTCAAAGTTTGAGCCTTTATATCTCTGATGGGCAAGCAAGTAAAAATTTGAAATTTGGATGAATGTTAGTTCCTAATGAGTAGAATAAGGGGTAAAAATTTGAAGTTGTAGACTTAAGGCATATAGGAGTTACAGACCTGAGAAAATGGCAAAAAATCATTAATTTGAGCGTTTGCGGTAGAGTAATTAAAATTCAAATAAACTGTATAGTGAAATAAAAATTAATGTATTTTCACAAAATTTTACAATAAATACAAATTTATACTACATTATAGGAATATTCAAGATCACATAAATCTCAAGATTTATGCGATGAAATATCCCAACTTCTGAACTATCAAAATTCTAAATGAAGGTTAATATTTCTATAATGTAGTATAAATTTGTATTTATTGTGAAATTTGGTGAAAATACATTAATTTTTATTTCATTAGACAGTTTATTTGAATTTTAATTACTCTACTGCAAACACTCAAATTAATGTTTTTTTTTGCCATTTTCTCAGGCCTGTAACTCCTGTATGCCTTAAATCTACAACTTCAAATTTTTAGCCCTTATTCTACTCATTAGGAACTAACACTGCCCATCAGAGATATAAGGGCTCAAACTTTGAAATTTTTCAAAAAATTATATTTGAGATTTTCTTGAAAAAATTGACTAAGTCTCAAAGCTCAAACTTTTTTTTAAATTATGTATGTATGTCTTTTCCAGAAAAAAATTACAAACCATTATCAGTTTCCCTTATGTTGTTAAAAAAATGCTGAAAACGGAATTTTATCAGTTTTGGTTTATTTCAAACAGTTAGGTTTTTGATTTATTGTTTTAGGACAAACCTAAGTGAAAATATTGGCTAAAGAGTGTAGCCATGTTTTCCTCCTTAAGAAAAGCAATTAAAGCTAGTAGGAGCTCATAAAAGCGAAGAAGAATCTTCCCCTTGCTTAACCAGCGTAGCTCTGTCTTCAGAAGCAATTCTCCATATTCTAGATTCATTTCTGAAATCAGAGTTTGTAACTGTCTTCTCTTCTATCTTATCAGGAATAAAGAAAGCTGAGCAACTATTTAGAATAGCTGGAGACAGAGACAGTTTCGCCATGGTAATCGCCAACGTCAAGGGGACTTGATAGGGCACATTAAGAAGAAGAAGAACTGTCTTCTCTGCAAAACATGAGCTCTTACTTGGTTTACAAGTTTAACATCAACTTTTATAACATTGTCTGCATTTAAAAATTTACCACAAAGTGCTTGCTGATGCATGATGCAGTGGTATGTTAAAAACTTTGGAAACGTGTCATCTTGGCGGCAAAGGGCAATGAATCCGTTATGCACTCCAGTAAATGCTGGGGCTCCATCAGTTGTAATGCCAACCAGTTTCTGAAGTGGAATGTTTTCAGATATAAAATAATCTTGAACGGAAGAAAATGTCTTCACCTCGAGCCCGCCCTTTTAAAGGAATAATTTTAACAAGTTCTTCCTTAGCAGTAAAATCATCGAATATCATTCTGAGAAATATGGCTTGTTAGGACGTATCACTAATATCTGTGGACTCGTCAAATTTTAAGGAGAAGAAAATATATCGCTGTAAGTCCGTATTCATCTGGGAAACAACAGCTTCTGACATGTTTCTGAAAGCTGCAGGGAGTTTATAACCGACATATTTATTTTTTAACCCTTCAAATAGGCAGTTTGCAGCTTCTACAAAACATTCCTGGATGTACACGCCATCTTCAAAGGGTTTCTTCTTTTTGGCAATAACTTGAGACACTTTGTAAGAAGCTAGAGTGGTGGCTGTAGTTTTATTGCTGACTTGTAATAAGACAGACTGCTGCCTAACTAATTGATTTTTCAATTGTTTCACTTTCTCGTTTCAGATGCTACTATTGATATTAAAATATTAAAATATCTTTCGATGTTACCTTTTTTTCCAACTGCGATACTTGCGTGGCACAAGAGACATAATTATGCACTTGCCTTTTACTTGAGTAAACAAATATTCATCTTCCCACTCTATATGAAAGTGATAAACTTTTGATTTCTTTGAAGGATTCATTTTTATTAATAATGGGTTCATGTTACCATTAAAACTATGTTCTAGCACTTGTGAAGGGACTAACAAATAATAGTAACTAAGCCGATAATCATGTTTAGGCGACAACGGCCAGTGAAGACTAAGAATTGCACAACTGTGGTAAAGATAAGTATTTTTAGCTCCGGCATGTTTTAGCGATATCGAGACGGCCGGGGTCATCCCACGCAGTGTTGCCAATGTACGGATAATTATCAGATTTTCCGATAATTTCGTGGACCATCAGATAATTTTCTGATTGGACATTTTTTTTTAATAATTTCGGATAATTCAAGGGTTTATCAATCTACTTTAGACATGTTTATATATGTTACACTTTTTATTTGATTCGATTCGCACGACGAGCGACTCGAATAAGGTTAAGATTGACTGGTTGTTTGCGATCAACATGTTGCCGACCCCTGGTTTGGAGCATTATATGCAGAGTGGTTTATAACACTGACCACATAAATATTTTATGATGTTGTGTGCTGAATTAAAGCACAAAAAACATTATTTGCATTTATCTAACACCAAATTAACAATTTTTTTTATAATATTTGCTTCTGATTTACCAAGAATTCTAGCAATAGTTCTTTAAATCTCACCAGGTATGAATTTGATAAATATTACTCCAAAACTAAGTTGGAAAATAATTAATAAAAATAGAGGTAAAAACTGTCAATCAAATCATAATTTAATATCTTTTAGTAACAATGGTGACAAAATTATCATAAAGCTGATCAAATCAACAATTATTTTATTAATGCTGTAAAAAATAATGAACTATCAGTTGTTAACTGTACCACACAAATTGACCAATTCAATTCAAGTTTCTTTTTATCACCAACCACTGAAAAAGAAGTTATATCTATTGTATTAAAAACTGCTTCTAAAACAGCTGCAGGGGTAGACGAAATTGATGGAAAAGCTTTGAAACATGTTGCCACTTATATAGCTTTACCACTATCTTATCTCATAAATGAATCATTTACATGCGGAATATTTCCAGATATAAAGGAATCGAAAGGAATTCCTATTTTTAAAAATAAAGGATCTGCAACGGATATTGCAAACTATAGGCTGATTTGTGTGTCAAGTCAGTTCTCTAAAATATTTGAAGCAGCCTATGCAAATAGATTAACAGATTATTTAGAACATTTTAAAATTCTTCCTGTTATTCAAAACGGGTTTAGAAAAAAGAAATCTACAAATACTGCTATTTCTGACTGTCTTCAATTTATTTATAAAGCATTAAATGATAAATTAAATGTGTTGGGTCTTTTTTATGACCTTAGTCGTCATTTGATATAGTTGATCGTGAACTCTTACTACAAAAATTGCAGGGTATTGGAATACGTGGTATACCGTACAATTGGGCCCGATCTTATCTAAGTAATAGAACTCAAGTAGTCACAGTGGAAAATGTAACGTCCAAGCCACTTCAATGTACGATGGGTGTACCTCAAGGCTCAATACTTGGCCTTTATTTTTCATTATATTTGTAAGTGACCTAAACACGTTTTGTTCAATGCCAGATAAAATTGTTCAGTATGCTGATGATACCAATATTCTCATGTCTCACAGTGAACCCATACAACTGGTGGATAATATGGTGGTCCAAATAATGGACTCAAGCTCAATGTAACAAAAACACATTTTATGTGTTTCTTACCAAAAAACTTAACTCCAAATTCTGACTTTTATTTACATGTGGATGGCAAATCAGTAAAAAGTTATACTACAATGAAATTTTTGGGGGTAACCCTAGATCATAAACTTACATGGGAAACTCACGTAAATCATGTATCAGCAAAGTTAAGTACATGTAGCTATATAATCAGTAATTTAAGAGAAACTGTCTCATTTGATATATTGCGAATGATTTACTTTAGTTTAGTCCAGTCTGTACTTCAGTATGGCTTAATATTTTGGGGTTGCTCATCTCATTTTGAACAGGCATTTATAGCTCAAAAGAAAGTTTTAAGAAGTATGTATGGTGTTCCATTTTCAGATAGTTGCAAGCCACTATTTAAAAAGTCTAATATTTTAACACTACCTAGCCTTTTAATTTTCCAATTAGTATTGCACATTGAGGAAAACAAGCTCAAGTTTGTCAGAAATGAGGACATTCACTCATATGATACCAGGGGTAAATCAAATTTTCGACAACCTTTCTCTAGATTAGGTGTATCCCAAAATGCACCTGAATATATTGGAATAAAATGTTACAATAAAATAGTCAATATATTAACTCTCAGTAATTCTTCACATAAAGGTTTTCGCCAAACTGTGTATTCATTTTTAATGGACAACACATTCTACAGTGTTGATGGATTTTTAAATTTTTAACATTTTTGCAACAATAGTTCTAAATTTGTATTTGTAACTTGTATTTGTAACTTTTATTTCTTATTTATTTTATTGTAATAACTGTTTTATTTTAATCATGTGTACTTTTGCTATATACTGTACTCTTTTGTACTAAAATTTTGACTAGTCTGATAAGATTTATACATTTTTTTCTTGTAAAAATTGTGTAAACTTTGTGGATGAATAAATTCTATCTATCTATCTAACTTCACTAACCAATATGAAGTATAGGACAAAAAAAAACTTTATAACACAAATGAAATCATGCCTGTCTCATAGACTGAATTAAAACTAAATATGTGTTTAGTTTAAAAGTGTGTTACAGAATAATTCTGAAAATCAGGTAATAAATAGATATTTAAACTCTCAAGAAATAGATAGTCACATCTTAAGGAGCATATTAGTTATTAATAAACTGAGAAATTCTAAATCCAATCACTCTCACAGACTACATATGTATAACTAGTTACAGGTTAATCGCAAACAAAATAAATTATTTAATGCTATCTGTAAGCTCTAGTAAATACAAATAGGCGAATACGAATAGGATCAAGGCGAACAGTATTCTTTAAAACTTTTTACTGACAGTAAAAACCTATGTTTATATCTAAGAGACATCACTAAACAGTTTTTTATTTTATTTTTATTACTAATTTATAAGTGAAATTTAACAATTGAAAAATCTACTTTATTCGGCATAAATTTTATATATGTTTCATTAGTCCCAACTCAAAATATTATGCAACACTATTATGTTTTCGTAATGTAGAAGAGAGTGCTACATTAAAAGAAGGCCAATCACAGCTACTGCTACTGTTTACATTTATAATTAGTTTTACTTACCAAACACTAGCAAATTATAGTAAAATTATGAATAATATTTTGGATTTTCACGATTGATTGTACTTTTTTACATGGTATCGTATATGTTTGGTTGTTTTATATTTGCCTCTGTAGTTTCATAATTTGCAGAAGCCATTTTAACACTTTCTTCCAGTTGACCAACAATACAAAATACTGACTGTCACTGTCATTTTAGATCAGCTGATGTTGTTCTTCTTTTTAGTAGATAAAATAATAATAATTATTATTATCTTAGATTATTCATTAATCTAAGAATATTATGATGTAGAAAAATGCGTGAATCTATATTTCAATATGATTTTTGGTAGGTAATCTAAATTTTATCGGGAGTTTGATTATTTTGTCCAGTTAAACCTGGCGATATTTTTCACATTTGGTTCCGATGAAGATAGCCTCAAATTAGATGTCAACTAAGTTTCACAGAACGAAATACTGCGTTGGCAGTGTTGTCATGTCCGTATAATGTGGTAAATGATATATTAAGCTTCAAATACAAAGAGAGAAAGCTTTGAAAAAGTACATTTTTATTATATAATTTTATGGATTCTGCAATTTTATAATTTATATAAAATACGAATGAATTAATATTTGTTTGTTTTGACATGTATAAATTGCAGTTAATTATTAAACTAAATTTTGGCAATTGCCAAAATTTGGCAACAGTCAGAATCTTCAAATCACCAGTTGCCAGATATTTTTTAACTTTACTATTTATATTGACACTTTACTATTTACGTTTACAAAATGCTTTAAAACTATTTACTTTTTCTTTTTTGGTAATTCTAAAGTATTAATTTTTAAATATCTTTTTGCTTTTGATTACATATGTTTCATTTCTAAATCTAATCTAAATAATTAATTATCGTAATCTAAATTTAAACACTGCTAAACACCAATATCGCGTTCTGTGAAATTTATTCGAGGCTATCTTCACAGGGACCAAATCGATCATCCGGAAGAAGAGGGTTACATCTCGAAAAATGTCAATTTTTGTTTTTTTATCTCAATGTACCTAAAATGTACTGTAGTTTTAAGGGAAAGAAGGATACAAGTGAGTTTGCACGTAAACGCCACGAGATCGAAGTTGTAACTATACTGAATTTACATTGATGGCGCTACGATTCGCAAGAACAAGGTTCCATTTTAGTTTGTTACTGACTTTGACAGTGTGTGCTTCAAGTTTGTTCACCAACAAGGTTACATTTTATGATATAACGAGCACCTGTGTATGCTGAAGATTAAAAAGAGGTGCATTTTGTGTTGTAATCATTTTTAATGAGAGTAAGTAGACATTTTTATAAGTTTTATTTAATGATTAAGGTGACAATTCGATATGGAACAAAACATGTAATTACATTTCGCTTCAAGAGGGTTACATCTGTAAATGCAACTTTCTTAAATACAATAATTGTAACCATTATTATTTATTTTTGTTTAGATCTTATATTATATTTTGAGATGTAACCCTATTGACCAAAATATAGTTATGAAAAAAGGGTAGTTTATTTAGATAAGTAATTTACTTATACAAATAAAATTGTATTCTTAAAAATTGCGACTGTAAGCTTAATTACTTTTATTTATTGCAACTTAGTATTCATTAGTAAAAAAGTGGAACTATCAATTTTTACACTTAAATTGAAACATTATTAAGGTCAATTTATTTTTAGGGTTTTTAACGACTATTGGAATATGTAAGATATTGAAAAGCAAAGGGATTTTATATTATCCAATACAAAAACTGTAACACAGCGCTATGAATACACGAATGCACAGAATTCGAGAAAACCAAATGACGCCTACTTTTTTTAAATTAATGATAAAGCAATTTGTGTTTGCAAATTTTTTTCATGGCTATCTTAGCAATTAACCATAAAGTCATTAGTACAGTTTTCAAAAAGCAGAATTTATGTGACAGCAGAAGGATATTGGAAAAGGACAAAAGAGGAAGACATGGGAATAAAATTAAAATGTATAAGTTTGAAAAAAATCACCCTGGGATTTTTTTTATAAAACCTCTTTTGAACAATCCGATTACATTGAGGTACAAATTATAAATTTAAGAAAACAAATTAATGTTAATAAAATCGAGCTCAAGAAAGTAAAACCTGGTATACCCGATGCAAAATAAAGAGATTGTTATCTTTAATTGAAAGAAAAACATTGCATATCCCTTTATTATACTAATTTTTACAAAAACCTGTGAACTATTTTTATGTTAATGAAAAATTCCTTTTGTTTCAAGCGTTATTCTGTTTATTTGTATGAATAGTTGTAAGTAAATTATGTATTATAATACTAAAATAAATATTTCATTGATCTAAAACTATATTTTTTTGCTTTTATGGTTTAATTTCAGACAGTTCAATAATTTGTCTACGATGCAACCACAAATTAGAAAAAAAAAGGACCGTTGTTTTATGGGAAAGATAGTTATATATTTCAAACTCTCCCTAGCTTTTATTTTCTGGAAATATGTATATACATCATCTTGTACTTATAAAATCTTAACTACAAAATGAAAATGGTAACTTGACACTCTGTAATTTAAATAAAATAGATATTTTTATTTCAAATAAAACTTAAGCTGACTCTCCTGAAAAATATTCTTTTTTGAGATGTAACCCTTTTCCTCCTGATGAACGAAATGTAAAAAAAGCAGTATTGAAATTTTTTACTTATATTAAATTTATTTTTCTCATCTCTGTTCAAGATTTACATTTCTAGAGTTTGGTTTTCCATAGTCTCTTGACTCTTGCCTTTCGGTATTATGTCAATTTTTCAACACCAAAAATTATTTTGTTAAATTTGGTTCTTCAAGTCGTTCTGCACTGTATGATTTTTACTGAGTTAAAAATTTCTTTTGTGCCTACAATATTTTATTTCTATTAAATACTATTCAGCACATGCATTTGTCATTTTTGGTTTAAAATATAAAATAATCCATTTTATTGATTATACAAAAAGAAAGAATTCGGTGGCGTCTATTTTGGCAAGTTGTTTGTAATTTTTCATCTTCTCTCCATTTTTTTGTGCACTAGTGTAGAAGTCGTAAAGAACCATCCCCACATTTCTGAACAACGTGACCTCGTTCATTTTGTTTACCACAAACACTCTCCGTCGTTTGTTGTGTTACAATATCAACAGAAAATGCAGACAGAGAAACCTAATGTCCGTTAACTGTTATTCAATATCACATCAAAATATAAAACAATACTTGATTTTTTATAGATATAGATTAGGTAATTTCTGTATGTCTGCATGTTAGGATTTCATCAGTTGTTTATTTTATACTCAGCCAGAGAACTTCCTTAAGTCAATAAATCAAAATTTGTCTTATAGTTTCTATAGTAATCTATTTTCATCCCTAGTGCCCTATGATATCTCGTATATAACTCTACATTCATTAATAACCAAGATGCTGTGTAGTGCCCGTTTGGTAGTCACCTAGTTGTTTTTTTTTTATTTTAAAGTAATCGTTATCCCCTCTCCTTTCATTTAACGCATCACACACACGCTCCAATCGGACCAATAAAATAGGAGACATGATTTAATGTCCTTTTTTACAATGTCGCCATGCTTTTTTTTTCCACCATTGTACTAGTTATCCTCTCCCTTTTCCAACGGGATCTCATACTTAATTCTCATATTCAATGCTTCATCAAGTTACCTTAGATATTTGTTATATTAAAATTTTTTACATGTATTAGAATATTACGGAAGAGGTATCTAAAAATTTTTCATAATGCCCGAAATACCTACCCAAAAATATCTACCAGCTCTCCTACTAGTATGTCTGACACAAATTTTATGCAATAAGTGTCAGATCTAAATGTACAGTTGCGGTCACGGAATAGTTTACACTTACTTTTTATATTGTAATACTGTAAAATTGCAGTGTCGTACGGATTTGATAAATGTCAAAGTCAAAAAATTTCAAAACGTCAATGCTTTCGCGAGTGTTCAACAATAAAATAAAAGTATATTAAACTCTTCCAAAATGGTTAGAATACATTTGAATTATGCGCAAAAATGCTATCTATGAACAGAAGACTGCAAAATTGTATTGACAAGAATGGGGCTTCCACCAAATATTAATTATTATTTATCATTGTTTATCGTTATTTAATATAAAATAGATTTAAAATAAAATGCATATTAAAAAAAAAAGACTTCTTTATTTTCGTTATTAAGATCATAATCCATTTTATTCAAAAAACTGTTTTCTATATTTTTCATTTTGTGAAATATTTTGATATTTTAATTTTAATCTACCTATTCTAGCTAGTACACCACTGGCAACGTCACTTTGACGTAAAAGGTGCGTTTAAACGAAGTAAAAATTTAAAAAATGGGCTCCTAGATACGTGAACCTGTAAACTATTCCGTGACCGCAACTGTACCTTAAATAAAACACTGGTTTTAGGTGATATACACTTCCAAAAAGCATTCCCTATTTCATTTATAATTATAATAAAGCACAGATATCAGCACTGACTCGTTTAAAACTAAACCATTGTGTTCCTCTAAACCATACATTCCTCGAATGTTCTCTGTGTGAAATATACACATGCCTTTCTTTTATGGGAACAGGGAATTTTAAACAATTCCTTGTTATAAAAATAAATGTTTATTAACACACACGGCATTTGTTTTCAAAATCATTAAATCTAATGACTGTACATGTATAATACATGACTGTATGTGTATATAATAGTTATCCAGATATTAGATATAAATGGGAATTCGCATGTGAAGTGACTATTAGTATTATTATTGCTGCATTTGTCGTTATTCGGGTGCAAGCAATATCGCAACAATTATGGAATAAGTAGTGTGGTTTAAATTTTCAATAAACATGTTTCAAAGATGTGACATACTAGTCTCAATCACTCTAGTATCAACATCACACTCTGAACTCTCTGTTCTTTTCAAGCCTGTATCAAGAACTACTTGTTAATGAGTTTCCATTGCCGCTAAATATTTTAATTACAAACCGATAAGTACTTGATTACATTATTAACTTTATGAACATGCAAAACTAGTAGTATAAGTAATTTTTCCTCTTATATCTCTGAAAAGTAGTACTTACTAACTGTTCGAATTATAATGAAGTGCAAACTAGTACTTATATATATTTATTTATATAAATTAACAAGTAAGTAGCAGTTAACTTTAATTATATTCACACATTCTCTTACACTTCAAAAAAACTATGACTAATTTCCCCCTAGAGTATATCCTCGACCCCAATTATGGCCACCAAAAATTCCTCCTCCTGGTCTAGCAGTGCCTCTTGTGGCAGGTCGTTCTGGTGCTACTCCAAATCCATGGACGCCTTAAATAAAATAAAATATTTGTAGTAAACGAACCCCTACTACAATTTTTAATAAATAATAAATTATAATCAGTACAATAAAAATGCATGGTTACATAGTAGTAGTAAGACCTGTGGTTCTCCTACGAGGTAGAGACTTACAACTCAGACAAGGAAGAATAAATATCAACTATGAAGATGTGGAAGACAGATAAGAAGGATCTACGGAGACATGGATGAACCAGGGCTGTGGTGTGTAAGAAGTAACAACGAAGTGAGTATGATGTAAAGAGAGGAACAAGCCAAGAAACTATGGGTCAGATGGCAAACAGTAACTCAAGATGGCCTGTATGGCATCAATGCAAATAACGATACTTCCGATCGCTTCATTTTCTTTCGAAAATACAATTACATGATATAGATAAAAATTATATACATTAGATTGCAATTAAGTTTATTTAATAGAATAGTTTTAGCCTGTTGTCACAGATAATCATATATAGTAACTTTTTTTATACCATAGAGATAAGTGCATATTCAAAATCTATATATTCAAATCTACCAGAAGTAACAGTGGTGTAAGTCATACCTCTTCTATTTGCTTACAGACAGCAGCACAAACTTGTCAGTGAAACAACATCTCTGTAGTAGTCAGACTTACACCACTATTCATTTCTAAGACAGTTATTTAGTATTGTGCGGTTGTGATTTTTCAATACAATGGATGACGACGATTTAAGAAATGTGAGTGATGAGCATAGTATTTTCGATAAATAAGGAGATAGTGGCTACTTTCCGATTCTCAACAAGAAAGTACTGGTAAATTAAACTTGTGTATTATATTTGTTTGTATAAAATCAAAACTAACCTCAAAATGTTAAATTCTCTACACTAACAATAAATAAACTCCTATAAATACAACAACGTCTTTGAGTGTTATTTTAATAAAGTTGGTTTGTTTCAGACTGTGAATCAAACGAGGAAGTCTCTCCCCAAGACCATGAAAGGGAAAGTAATAGAGAAGAAGTAGAAGTTCAACAACCTAAGAGAGCACGAAAACGACAGAGGCATGAACATAAAAAGAAAAAGTAGTACCAGGTAAAACGTTTTCAAACAACTCGTTTGGCAATAAAAAATGTTTTGAAAAGATATCATGTGAAGATAGAAAAAGAAACATTTGAATCATTCTGGAAATCGAAATCATTTACAGCACAGAATGCTTTTATTCGTGGTTTGATCAAGCAAAAGAAACCTGAAGTAAAACATCCTATGGATCAGTCACGACCTAGTAAGACAGTGTCTAACCAATATTTCATTCATAAACAAGGCGAAGCCACAAAAGTATGAAAAAATACTTTGTTGGAAGCTTTCAGATATCTAATGGACGAATGACACGGGCCATTAATAAGATAAAATAAGGGAAACCACCTGGTTCAGATAATCGAGGCCATGGTATACCAACCAATAAAATATCTCAAGAATGTATGAACTGTGCCTGGAAAGATATTGAAAATTTTCCATCTTACCAATCACACTATACAAAGAATCAGAATCCCAATCGTAGGTATCTATCTTCTGACCTTGATGTTACCCTTCTGCGTCGCTTGTACAGTGAGTACTGTCAGGAACAAGGCACAGTCCCTGTTTCCTGTGATATTTATCGCCATACATTCAATAATAAGTATAACCTTAATTTTCATATACCACAAAAAGATATGTGCTCTAAGTGTGATGCTTACAAATTAAAAAAAGTTGCAATAACAGATGATAATGAGATAAGACAGATTGAAGTAGAGCACGAATTTCATCTTAGAAAGGTCAAGCTTGCACATATTTCTATGAAAAGTCCCAGGCTGACGATTCTTACTATTCATTCACTTTTAACCTAGAGAAAGCCCTAACTTTCCCAAAACTAACCACATCTATCGCATACTATAAACGTAATATGTACATTTACAACTTGTACTGTCATGAGCTATCATCTGCCTTAGGTATGGATGGCAAGAAATAACAGCTTCAAAAGGATCTCAGGAAATCAGTGCCTGTGTCACAAAGTACATAGAATTAAGTGCAGAACATTAAAAACATGTTGTATTGTACAGTGACAGCTGAATCAGCCAAAATAGAAACTGGAATTTTGCCTTGGCCTTGTTACAGTTAGTTCAAAGTAAAAATAATAGTATCGAAATAGTTGATCACAAGTTTATGGTAAGCAGACACTCTTACTTATCAAACGACTCAGACTTTGGTTCAATTGAAACTCACTCTAAAAGTAAACAGATTTATGTGCCTGAAGATTAGTTTTCAATCATAGTTTGGTGTTGAAAGAAAAAAGCTTTCATTTTCACAAAAATGCTTAGAGAAGACTTAAAAGATCTGACACAATTCACTAAATCCATTACAATGGATTAATCAGTGAAGATGAGCCATTTTCACTGATCTATAAAGAAACACTAAATGAAGATTTTTTACTTTTCACAAATTAACTCTACGAAGCAAGCAGAAGGGAAGACCAACATTCTTGAAAAATCTTGGATTGCCTGTACACAACACCTCGACCAGTTATGCCAGCCAAAAAACGGGATATGTGTGATTTACTACCATACATTCCTCCAGTCCACCATTCTTATTTTAGAAATCTTATATCATCTGATGAAGTCAATGACGAAGCTGGACCACTTCCTGATGTAGAAGAAAATAATGACTAATGAACTAGTGAATTTATTTTTGATTTTCTAATGTAAAAGCAATAAACATATTTTGCTTTTTGTACATTCTCTTTAGATTCTTAAAGGAAAAGTGGTGTAAGTCATTTCACCCCTTAAAAACTACCCTTAACATAGTTTTATTTGTACAAAAATATTAGTAGAGTTACATATGTTCTTAATAAATAAAATCACAAGCATGTTTATAAATATTACGTAGATTTAACTACAATATTTCTAATAAAACCTTTTCTATCTCAAAATGATGCTCAGATGACTTACACCACTTTTGATTTCACTGCCTTATATATGCCTCTTCATTTATAATATATGAAGATACATATGCAGGATGAGCCACCATTGATGTGACGATATAATATGCTAAACAGTAAATATTTAAAAATTGTGTCTAATGTATAATGTTACTGTGAAAGTCCGAAATTGGTGTGTGTTGACATTCACCGGTTAATGACAATAAACACCAAATGCCTCTGTGAAAGACCAAACATTTATAAATTTTGTAGTAGGCAACAATAAGTAGTGCTAACTGACATCTGACACTTGCACTGGAAAGACATTTTTAAGCATGGGCACACTCAGAATGTTTTAACATTTGATCAATATTTGTGTTGTTTTACAGTGGTTTGAAAAATTTGTCTCAGCCAAAAAATGCCTGAAGAAATGGTTGGAGCTTTCAAAACCCATGTTTTGGAGTTAGCTCAATCTGAGTAGAAAATGCTTAGGAAATTGGTTCAAACAGTAAAAGTGTACTGATTTTCATGGAGAATATTTTGATTAGCAATAAAGCCATTTCGACCATAAATACTTGTTTTTTCATTGTTAGACCAGAAATATACATAGCAACATCTCGTAAGCTGTAAATTTTCACACTTTATTAGAGTTTTTCCAAGTTGTGAATTAGTGTTGAGTAAATATATTCTTTTATCTATAATCTTATTATCTAGTTGTTGATGGCATTTTAGTGTTCATGATTATTAAGCTGTATAAAACTCTGAGATATTAAGAGTTTAAGTATCTGACCATTGTGATATTGTGTAGCAGTAACCTTGCATCTTTGATAAGCTATACAGAATTTGTCTGTTTACCAATTTTCCTAAAAAACTGCACACAAAAACCAATTCACTTGACAGTAGCCATTTACTTCTACATCTGTTTTCTATGAAATGCATTTTGCAATTTGTGATTGGCAGAGTTGCTACATTCATTGTTTAACAGTCAAATTTACAACCTTGTCTAATTATGTTTCTTTATAGTTTGATATTACTGTTGTCTGCTACTAGTCAGCTGTGTTGCTAACACATTTTATTCAGTTCTTTTGGTTATGTTTTGTTATCAATAAATTAAAATATAGAATGTCAGAATCAGTTTCCAACTATGCCACAAAGTACCTTCATTTCTGGTGTTGCAAACAATTGCTTGGTTTTTGTTGCTTCTGTCCTAGTCTCTGTGGTGTATGTTATTATAGACTTTATAGCAGCTTTGTACATCCTTGATTTACCCTCAATGCTGATACTTATATTACATTGTATCACATTGCTTAGAAAGCCAGCTATTTTTTTTACTCTTGTTGTTTGCTCTCTTACTTCTACTTCAATGTCACATAGCCTGATAGTTCTATGAAATAAACATATTTTAAACTAAAATTGTACTTAATTCCCAATAAAAATAGTAAATAATATTAGAACGTCACAAAAGAATAGCTTCAGAACAATGGTAATATAACTGTTATAAACTTACCTCCTACTTGATCAGGGAAAAGAGATTTTAAAAATGAAGGTGTTTGGATAAGTACAGGACCACCCATTTCTTGAGGGTATTTGTACATTAGGAAATAGTACAAATGTCCTACTAATATACCAAAAAGTTCCATAATACCTCCTCCACTTAGGACCAAGTTGAAAGCTAGCAATACCCAGGGAAGGTAGATTGCTTTAAATCGTGTTCCAAACCAAAATGACACAATTGTTTCTTTATTTAACTGACACCAGATGTATAAAACAGACAGAATCATGGGGTCCATCAGGATCTGTAAATATAAATATGTTATGTTAATTATGTATAAAGGTTATTACCTAAAAATTATTTCAAATTAGTATTAAAAAAATTAGGATTAGGTTTTTCCAAAACCACCCATTGAAGTATAAAATCCAATCCAAAAAATTTGTTTTTTATAAATTTAAAATATTTTAATATTGCTTTACAATGACTAAAGTTTTTAAATGTTCTATTTTACAGTATAAAATCCATTTTTGTTGGTAACCTATCAGAGCGTCACCTATCACCAAAAGTTGGTCACGTAGCACCAAAAAAGTTCGAAAGTAGATAAATAAACATGAATTCAAGATATATTTAGTGCCAAGGCTCCATCAGAATTTACTTCTTTATAAGAAGAATCTCTTATTGACTTATGCTGCGATAATACTTAAAAGTTGAAATTTGGTAATATGGAACTTTCTGATTTTTGGATATCAGTAAAAGAGCTTAGCATAAAGCTTTACGAATATTAATGTTGGTTGAAGTAATAAAAAGTAAATATTGGTCAAAAATTAATGTTGAACAAGAAATTGGGGTCACTGCATACAATTTATTTCTGAGATTTGAGTAGTTGTGTAGTCAAGCCTATCTATTCCATTAATGATTTTAATAATGTTAATCATCATAGATGTTCAATAAATTGTTTGTGAATTTAAAATTAGTGTTTAATTAATATTTATATGGATATTATTGACACAGTTGAAATTCGATATTTTATATTATTTCAAGGAACATAATAAGTAACTGTTTTAAGACAAACTGTTCTAAGACAAAATTTTTCCAATTTTTCAAGAATTTAGAAAAAAAATCTGATGTATTAAGGATGCTGTGGAAAAATCCTATTATTTAGAGAGTCATCAACTGAAAATGATCGAGAAACTTTAACTCAGTCTAGGTTTCTTGTCTACCTGTCTATTCTAGATGTTTGCGTTCATAATTCATAAATCAGAAAAGCTCATTCATGTTACACAATTTCCATAAATTATGCAGCCAGGAAATACATCTTCCTGATCTCATTTCCTAAAGTGAGAATGCACTTTATTGCTGCCACATCTTTGTATCTCCGGGCTGTTAAGATTGCATATTGCATCCACCTGTTAATTAATGTAAAGTCCAAGTGTAATTTATTTACAATGCCCAACAGACCTTGTAGGCCTACAATTTAATAATAATTGAATAGTATTTTACTACTTACGGGTAATTCAGCTACTAATCCAAGTATAACACAACATGTCCAGTTGAAAATCAACAAAAACAGATAGTCGGATGGTTTGCTTGCATACTGACCTAAAAAGGACCAACATTAAAAATGATTACTTATTTCTAAATACTAATAAGCACTCAGTACCTTCTTCCAAACGTCTGGAATAATTATACAAAAAATATAAATTGATGAGGTAGTGAAAACCAGCTTGTTGAATTGGATAATATAAAACACTTGTAACAAGCCTCCATAACTGAAAACTTTTTAAAGGTTCATATAGCAGAATTAAATTGTATGGATTTATGAAACCAAATCTCCCTAAAAGTGTGAATAATATTGAACCAGCAAACCAATATCTTGTAAAAATAGGAACACTCCTAAACCACTCGCCCAAATCTGACATTTTTTATTTTTTATCACCACACTTGTAGTAAATTTAAAACAAATACTTTTATAAACTTCAATATTACAATTACGTTGACTCAGTTGACATAGTTTTAAGTATGATTTTCATAAAATCTAAACGTGTCGTGGCTCTTTGTCACTGGATAATAAACAAGACAGAACCACACACAGGACAGTCCCAACTAGCAGTGCCAGTCTTATCTATGTTAACACGTAAAACAACGATTGGCGCATCACCTAGTGCCAGGGTGCGTAACTATAGTGTAACGAAAGTGCAAGGTGAATATAGCCCCACATGTCAACAATGGAACAAAACTTAGAGTAGGGAATTTTGACGTTTAAAATTCCCGACTCTTAAGAAACAAATATATCGTTTTGGCCAATGACGTGTATTACGTCATTGGTTTTTGGCCAAGATAAGTAATATCTTCTTCTTCTTCTTCTTCAGCCTGTGTTCGTCCACTGCTGGACATAGGCCTCTTCCATTTGCTTCCATCGCTAAGTAATATCTACTAACTGAAATATCTACTAACCTTGGGTTTTGGCAATGTCACAGGCAATGTTGGCATGTTTTTATAATGTATTTTGTTGTATACTTCAAATCTCAAATATAAAAAGAGAAGGCTTTAAGAAAGTACATTTTGATTATATTATGTCATGAATTCAGCATTTTTTATGTTGTATAAAACAAGAACGAGTAAATATTTGTTTCTTTGAAGATTAATTGCAGTTAATTTATTAGATATTTTGGCAATAATTGTCCTTTGATAGATTAGCGGATAGACTTGGCAATCCTCAACCTCAAACAACCAGTTTCCAGATTGCAACAAATGTTTGCCATTATTCTCGAACGAGAAAAATATTTACGCGTTATTTTTTATATAAATTAAAAACTGCAGAATTCATAAAATAATTTAAATAAAATTTACTTTTTAAATGCTTGTTTGAAGCATACAACATATGTATTATCCCTTATAAAAATAATATTATCCTAAAACTGCCAAAACAAAAAATTTTATTTCATGGTTGACATTTGCGGCTATATTCAGCTTGTACTTACGTTAAAGTTAACCCAAAAATATATACATACATTATACATTTTATAGTACAGAATAAGGGTTTTTTGTTATTTTAGAATATTGATTTACTTACCGTACTTTGTAATGAGTTTATAATCCTAGGTAATTTTATGCATCTTTTAAATTTACCGCCATGTATACAAATAGTTACGCACCCTGACACTAGGCAATGAGCCAATCGTCGTTTTACTTTTTAACACAGGACTTCAGGACTGGTACTGCTATGTGGGAGTGTGCTGTAGAATGTGACTGACAGTCTGACAGTGACATTTTTGTCAATTTGACCTATCAAAATATTACACGTTTCACGTTTTTAATTTTTCTTGTATCCACTCCACATATTCAAAACCTCTCGGATTTTTCAGATATGGCTCAAGTTACTAAAATAATTTCCAAATTTTATAATGAATACCAAAGTAAAACTTCAAAGAAGTTAAAAGTAATTGATGCGTATCTGTTCTATATTTTATTAACCGGCATTATCCAATTTGTTTATTGTTTGCTGGTTGGTACATTCCCATTTAATTCATTTCTTAGCGGATTTATCTCCAATGTCAGCTGCTTCGTCTTGGCCGGTAAGTTTAATTTTACACTAAAATAAGTAAATAAATGTGCGATTTTTTTTTAATGTACCTTCGCCCAAAAACATCGATTTGAAAACACACAACTGCTTTTAGACATTGGGAATGGAACAAATAATTAAAATAATTATAAAATTTAATTGCATAATATGCAAATTAAGTGCAACATGTGTTGGTGAATGATTGTGTGATATTAATAAAGACCAATTCAATTTTGAATGCTTAAACTTGAAAAAGAATGTAATATCACGGCCTAATTGTTAATACTAGTTGAACAGATAAAATTAGATTCCAAATAGGTATGGAGTTTCTAATCTAACAAAACAATATAGTTGTTTTGGTAAATAAAAAATTCTTGCTTAGCTATAATATAAATTAAGTGTGTTACTAATATTTGATTTGAATGAAGGTTGTTCGGTTTATTGTTTATTTTTCAGTATGCAATTTCTAATTAAAAATTTTATTTTCAGTATGTCTTAGACTTCAAGTAAATCCAGAAAATAAAAGTCAGTTTAGTGGAATTAGCCCAGAAAGAGGATTTGCTGATTTCATCTTTGCCCATATTGTACTTCATTTAGTAGTTATGAATTTCATTGGCTAATTTTAAATACTCCTTAAAATTATGTATTATTTTCAATAAAATTATTTTTTTTTTGTATAATTTTTTTAATTGAAAATGAATGTAATGGATAGTAGATAGTAGTACACACACAAATCCCTACAGGAAATACAAGCAGTGGTATGAAAAAACTACTCGTTCTCAAAAATTTCGCTATTATACCCATCAATGTTAAGAAACACCCATCTGTCATCACAAAAAAAAAACAATGAACAATAAAGCTGCTGGTGATGACCAAATCATTATTGAGGCAGTTAAAGCAGGAGGAAAGACAGTATTGAAAGCATTGACACAATTATATGCCTTTCAAAAGAGCTTACACCATCTCAGTCGAATAAATCTGTTATAGTAGTCATGCACAAAAAGGGAGATAAACCAGAGCTAAAGAACTATCGACCTATTAGCTTGTTATCTCACGTTTATAAGTTGTTTATGAAGATAATAACTAATAGGTTGACATCAAAACTAGACTTCTATCAACCTTGCAAGAAAGCAGGATTTAGAGCTAGATACGGAACAAATGATCATTTGCAAACCATTAAGTCGTTAATTGACAAAAACCATTGAATATAATAGACCCCTGATGCTTGTCTTCGTCGACTTTGAAAAAGCATTTAAAACAGTCAATCAAAGTGAAATGCTCCAAGCTCTAACACAATGTAGAATAGATCACTGATACATATCCCTCATCAGATACATCTATCAGCATGCGCCTGTGTAAGACTTAATGAAGATACTGGGACCTTTCATATTGATAGAGACGTTCGGCAAGGAGACAACATGTCTTCTAAATTATTTACAACTTTGCTAGAGTATGCTTGTAAAACAATAGATTGGAACAAAAAGGGCATCAATGTAGATTAAAAATTTTTAAATAACTTTCAATTTGCAGATGATATCATTCTTATTGCAGACAGCTTTGATCAGGCACAGATAATGCTACAAGAACTCCATACTGCCACAAAAAGAGTTGGTATTAAAATAAATTTTTCAAAAACACAATTTATGACAAATTTAGTCCACAACAAAAACATCTCAGTAGAAGACAAAGATATTGAGCCAGTTGACTCCTATAAATACTTGGGCCATGAGATCAGAATAAGTCGAGACAACCAAACAATCAAGATGAAAAGAAGAATAAACCTCACTTGGGCTGCATTTGGAAAGATGAAGCATGAATGTTCAGCAGTGAACGTTAGAGGCTAGTTGATGATGATACATTTGTTGTGCATATGTGATAGAAAAGAGTAAAGAAATTTTATTAAGAGCAGCAGCAGGATTTAGCATTACATGAAAAAAAAAGTACAGGAGCTACTGTTTTCTGTTATTTACAAAACCAAAAAAAAGACCAGTCTTCCACAAATACCAATGAAAAAAATATTTTGTCTTAGAAAATTATGGCTTAATGTATTAGCTGAAAACAAATTGTGCTGACTTCTATATGTACCATTAAAGAAACACTAAGAAAGGGCTTGCATATCACAATATAAATATTTATAGTTTTACTAGTAATTTTGACCACTGCATGCGTCAGCGGAGACAATGAATTGCCATCTAAAAGTCATTCATTAAATTTTTAAAATAATTAACTTCTTGCATGTAAACCAAGTAAATATAAAGTATGATCTGGTACTTTTCTGACTCTTATGATCATTTTTCAACTATATCCTGTATATATACTTTCTGATGGCACACTATATACATTCTTACACTCATAAATAACGAAGATGCTGTGTAATGCCCTTTTGGTAGTCGCCTTATTTTTTTTTCTTAATATATTTTCTTAATGTTAATATATTCGTTATATTCTTCCTTCTCATTTGCTATATCGCATGTTATACTTAATTTGATCAGTTATTTATTTTGTACTCAGCCTTCTTTAAATAAAGCAAAATTGGTCTCATAGTAGATCTATTTTTATCCATAGTATACAATGATATCTCGTATGCCGCTATATATTCATTAATAATAATTCCTAAAATTTTTCTCCCTAAATTTCCTTAGGTACCACCTTTTTAACACCTTTAACTCTTAAATGTGTTTAAAAACTTCATCTCTATAGCCTGTGTTTTGCTTTTTTGCCGTTCCATTAATATCGATTACCTATTTCCTGCCAAAAGTCAGAACAAGTCTGTAAACTGCTTTGAAAACTTTTATTTTTGTATTCTATGATATTTGTTTTTTGCTGATAAATTCTCAGTTCATTGTATGATACAGTAACGCTTTCTCCTCTCTGCTATTGACTTCTGCTTCTAGATATCCTGTTTTTCTAGTATTACTCCTAAGTATGTATAAGTTTTAACTTGTTCTATTTTTGTTTCTCCAATTTCTATCTCGCAAGTTCTTCTATTTTCTCTCCCATTTGCTTAATTTTTGTTTTATTGATATTTATTGCTTCATTCCGTTTTCATTGAGAACTTCTTGCCCTATTTCCAAATTATTCTGTAGTTCCCTTTCAGTTTTTGCAATAAACACCAAATCCAACATCAATTTTTATTCGCAGCGAAGAAATAAATTTGATTACCTCAAAATTATAGAAAATTTGTTCTACTGTTTACACATTTTAAACATTTTAAAAAACTGTGACATGCTGTCCATATACCTAGAGTGTAAAACATTTGGAATATAAAATTCTAAAACTATCTTTCCCCTATGTGAATCACTCGATACGCCACTGGCTCGGGTTTATTATATTATGTTAAATTCTCTTACTTAAAAAAATGATTTTTAATTGGCCCAAACAGTGGATAATATCAAAGAAAAGCTAGTAAATTAAAAAAATTATATTTACATATTTCGTTTAATATGTGATGTCATACGAAAGCCAGCCAACATAATGTTATCTATTTTATAGTAAAATGATTCATAATCTCTATCTTATCTAAACTTATCGTAAAAATGAACCTGACACAAAAATGCCATCCAGCATAAACTGTATCAGTACAAAATGATTAACCAGTAGCCGTGATCTTTTAGAAATGTTTTTTTGTTGCCGCAGAAAGAAATTAAATGTATCAACATCTGATGCAAATAAAGAAACATCAAATACAAATGGTAAGTTTTTTCAACTTACATAAAACGGATAATAATTATATCCGAATACCTGTATGTAATAAAACATGTACAGAGAAAACAGAATTTAACCAATGTGCGATTGAAGCTTGCAAACGCATCTCTTGCAATAAAAACAACTGCACAAGGTTATGTTCTGTTATTCCTACTTAATAATTTATTCCTTTAGAATATATTCTGCAGTCGTTTAATTTATACTACGGGGCAGCTACTGTTTGTATTATGCATATTTTATTCAAAGCATTATTGGACAACACCAATCAAAACTACATTATGGCATGCTTCTTTTCTTTTTTCTTCTCAATTTAATCCTGGTTAACTTGAGCACACAGTTACTTGATATCGAACAGTTCAAATTCATCGTCGTTGATTTGTAGTCTAAGAACGGAGGATTTGGATATTAATTCATATCCTCGGTTGATATCTTCAGTTTATTGCTGGATATAATTTATGACCAAGATAATATAATAGGGGATAAACTCGTCAAAAATTTGTCTTATGCATCCCATTCTATAGTTGTAAAAAGGGACGGAAACGCACAAAATTCCCATATTGTGTCATTTATCTGGAATCCCATTGATTTCAAAAAAAATGTCTTTACAATATGGAATAAAATTCTATGAATATGAAATAAATTATCTAAAGATAGGTAGGTAGATGTACTGCAAAAGATAAATCTTGCCGCTGCTGAAAAAAAAAATAGTTTCACGCAAAAGGTTTTTTTTATTTAATTTTCTTTATTGTCATAAATATACAAAAAGGTAAAAATTTTTTTATAGAGGTATCTGAAGGTTTTAATAAGTATATGAGGGGCAGCTGATGAAAAATTCAGATATATAAAGTCAAAAGAAAAGGCAAAAAAGTATTTTTGAAGTGTGTATATTTTTAATAATTCCTAGCTGAGCGCTTTCGGCTTTACAAAGCCATCATCGGAGCTATGCTACAATAGGTTATCATTTTTTCAAAATTCCCTGAAATTTTTCAATATATCAATTTTTTTGAGATTTTCCATTTGGAAATGTACAAGCTAATTATATCGTCATAGGAAGCATAACTTTTTCCTACATAACATAAAAAATACTACTTTGAGAAAGCTAACTTTTATAAATTTTACTCCGCACTTACCCTACTATTAATTACTATTACTAATTTATAATTAGATTTTTTCTATCAGATGTCTATAAAGTCTAAACCATAGAATACGGCGCACAAAAAAATACGGACAGTTAATCAGAAACAACAAAAGTTTGGTGGAAATAACAAAAATTATTATACTCCGTAGACAAAAAGAAAAAATAAGCAACTTGCCTAAAATAAAATCAAAATCGAAAAATGAGAAGATAAAATTCTTATTGAAATAAAGTTAGTTGGATTTTACTATTCGATCCCTTAAAAAAAAAAAAAAAAAAAGAAATACCTAGGCATAATGTAGCCAATTTTTTTGGCAATACATCAAGTTATTATATTTGAGTTGCCTGTTACTACCCATATTATAGAGATATTTCCCTTTCATATAGGCTACCCATTCTACGAATTTTGTATAAAATAAAAATATATTACAAACTCTATATCATATAAAAAAAGTTTTGCCTAATTATAACAATATTAGCTATACAATACCTACTAATTTTTATCTCCAATTTTCTCAAATCAGTATTTGTCTATATAAGTACCCATAGTTATTTGATTTCTGTAAGATAAATAAAAACAATCATTTCACGATTCCTTAAATAAATTAATCAGAAAATTGTGCAAAACACTGGTTTCAAGTGATAATTATTTATTTGTAAATTTTATCTTTTTGTTGAATTGGTTGTTTAAAGTACATTTCATTTTTATAAATTACCAACCTGATCTTTATCAACCTCTGGAACAAACTGAATTTAGAAAAGGCAAGGTGGACAGTGCGAAATCAAAATATTTCCGAAATAATTTATGGAATACAACAGCTATCAGATATGTACACTAGCCTAAGACAGGCTCGAAGCCCATGACATAGGTATATGTCAAAATAAAGGTGCTTTTATTACAGGAGGACATAAAACACCTGTTCAATAACTCTCTAATACAGTATACTTCTTTGGAGTTTAGTTTCTTATTTCAAACTTTTGCATAAAGAGGTTAATAAAGGCCGATTGTTCAAACGCTAATCAAAACTTGATTGTAATCAAATATTTAATTACAATCAAATACGTCACAGCACCTGTAAAAATTATTAAAAATTGCTTATTATTATAATTGATTTGTAAATAAAAACATGAAATTAACATCATGAAACAACATGAAAGAGTTTATTTATGATTTATTTTAAATTATAACATAAAATAATAGAATTGAATAAAATAAATCAGTCAACATAACCCAAAATGTGACGTATTTGATTTTAATTAAATATTTGATTACAATCAAGTTTTGATTAGCGTTTGAACAATTGGCCCTAAGTGCAATAGAGTATACATATAATAGATTTTAATAATATTAAATGAAAAAATTAAAACAATCAATGATTTGTATTATATTCAACGTGTACAATATTTTTTCGACCTTTATACTACAACTTTAAATTTTTTCAAGGTACGGCCTTTGATCAGAGTAAACCATATTCCATCACAGAAGAGGTTTCGAAAAATGAAGAAAAGAAAAGAAGTAATCGAACGATATCCTTTAGTAGAAGTATATCTATGACCAGTTTTTACAGTGTAAAATCATCGAGATCCGAGGGAGATCCAGATTACTATAGTTTATGCAGCGCTGAATCTTTCAAAAGTGTATGATTTTTGATACTTTTAATTTAAAGTAAATTTTTATGATATCTACTATTTTCTACCTATTTTATAAATTTCGTAGAAAACTTGTTTAAATAAAATTATTTTGTACAAAGAGTTCCTTTTATTTGAAACCACTTTGCAACGTTTCCTGGTGTGAGGCAATTAAATTTTACGACTCTTTCGTCTGGGAATGAGGTATCATAATATTAATATTAGGATTGCATAGTTATAAGTAGTCGAGAGTTTGTACCACCAAACTATATAGAAATAAAATTTTTTGAGGCACTTGCGTATTTTAATACAAGTAATTTTCTTGTAATTGAAATTTAATTTTTTATTTCGAACCCAGTGAACTCCGTGGAAAGTAACTGCGTGTCTTCTCAAATGTACCATAAACTTTGTAGACGTTTAAAACAACTAAAGCCTAAGAAAATATAACCTAAATACTCTTTAATAAGTTCTCTCTCTCCGAAACACATAATATCAAGTATTTAATCCTCTAATCTCTTTTTCATCTTGATCAATTGCATCCCAAACTTCTCTCACCATAACTTATATGTCGTCAAAACAGGTGGAAGTTGTCGGTTGTTGAATTGACAAATAGTAATATCCCAAAAATTCCCTATGGGATTTAGATCAGTGCTGAAGGATGGTCAGTTTATAGTTTGTATGCAAACCTCGTCCAAATAATCACGGACGACACGCGCATTATCATGTACTAAAAAAAATTTTTAGTAGATAAATGAGTGAGTCAGTTTCATGAAATTGTAAGCAGTCTGTAAAGCATCAGAAAAGAAGAAAAAATCATTGCCGTAATATTTCAGAACCAAACAAAAATACTGAAATACATTCCTGGCGAAAGAAGGAAACGCGAAAAACATCATTAGGGATGATTAGAGAGATAGGAACAGGTAGGCACAAGAGAAAAACTGTTAAATAATATAATATACAATTTTTTATTAAATACAAAAATATTTCAAAGCTTTCATCCGGTTAATCGATGTTGATATTGTCGTATTAAGGTTTTTGCAGCATCCATGTGTCCTAAAAATAATACATTAGGCTATACTTACAGGTAAAATAAACTTAATTATATGTAAGGTTCATTCAATGTCAATGTATGCGTCAAACCAAAGGCTTTAATTGGTTGAATAATGCGCGAGTATATAATCATCACTTAAGTTGAAAGAATGTGTTAAACTGAAGACTTTTATTGGTGGACCAATTTAGAGTATCTTCCAATTTTTTCGATTGGTGGGTCTTGAGATAATTGATAAATAAAAATTATAAAATATGGCTGAAGTATGATGTTCCATTAAGACATGTTGTAGAGATAGTATTTTTTGTTTGCCTTGCACGCATTGCTGTCATAGACTGAACATGATTTCAAACATCTAGTTCTCATCCCCTCATATTCAAGTATCCCGTAACTTTGTCTACTTGCAAGCTAAAGTAACTAAGGCAGCTAAGTGGAGGTAGCCAGATATGGCAAGAAAAGGTAAAGAAGATAGGCAAAAGTTTAACGAACTTCAACTGTTATGTGCTAGACAGCGCAGTCGTATTCACAAAATGATGTATGTACATCGATGAAGATCACCTCATTATATTTATTTGTTCCACGAAAGTATAAATGTCACTTAAGCCGCGTTTTCACGATGGCAATTGGCGAGACAATTGTCAGAAGACAACTGACTGGCATGAAATTATTGTCTTCGTGTAAACACTTCAGGCCAATTGCCTTGCCAACTGCCCTCACAATTGGCCCAAAATTCAGTTGTCTCCGGGAGTAGACCGAGGACAATGAGCTGCGCCCAGTTAGCCCCTCCACCACTCGAAATCTCAATTGTCGCGACAATTGGTGCCGTGTGAACGCTGTAGGCCAGTAGTGCTGCCAGTAGTAATTTGTGTTATTTGGGTTAAATTTAATTTTCGTACAATGAACATAACCTATAGATATGTTTGACGTTAAATGTAAGCTTAATATACGTCAGTGTTGACATATACTCAATTATTTCACACTCTCATATATAAAATTATGGGCAAGATTTATATATCGCTCATTAAATGCAACAACGTCATATCTCAAAAAATCGAATTTTTGAGTTAGGTGGTTTAACAGAAAGTAAATTATATAAAGTTTAATTTGTTAGATCGACATATCTGTAACTTAACAATTAACTGAGAGATGGCGCCAAACGATTGTATTATTTCTGTGACATGGTCTAAATTTTTACCGCAAGAGTGTTTTATTTCAGTTGTGGTTTGTCAGTTGAAGCCGCATGTGCTTACGCTTTTATTTAAAAACGTGTTATTGTGTTTTATGAGGATATTGCACTAAAGGTAAGATCTTTTATTTGACAATATTTTATTTCAATAACGCATTATTTAGAAGTAGTACTTTTTTTCGACAAAAAATGATAAACGTTTAGGTTTTAATAATTAAAAATATGACGCTATTGTTCTGAAAAAAATATTTGTTTGGTGTATTATTTTTTCTTAAGACTTTATTACAAAAAAATTAATATTTTTTTTGCTAGAGTTGTCTGAGTTTTTGTAAACAATATGACTTTATTGTTACAAATTATTATTTAAAAATTTAAAAGGAATAATATTTATTTAAGGTTAGGTCAATCTTAAAACACAACTTTTTTTCCATTTGGGATTGCGACTCATTGATTAAATTAAATTTTGCTATTTTTTAAATTTAAAACCAAAAATAATTGCATATGTTTATTTGTCTAATAATTTTTATTTGTTCTAATTAAAAAAATATACTATTTTAGGCTTTCAACGTAATAATGTCCTTTCGCCTAAAAAAGATTCAACAGCTTTTAAAGCAGCAACAATCTACCAATGAGGATGCATCGACCGAACAGTCTATGTCTGACTACACAGTTTCTGTTTTTGAATGTGAAAATGGTACCCCAAAGAAGATGCTCGACAATGATGAACAACAAAACACACAAGAAAATAAAACGAATGTTTCAGAGATGGACAATGAGTTTATTGTAAAAGATCAAGAATCTTCAAGTACACTAGGTAAGTATTTTTTCATGAGTTCTTTCAGCTTTGAGGGGGCACGGGCACGGCGTTGCGGTTTAGAAATAAATATTGGTGCTACAAGGAAAAATATTTTTATAAAAAAATTAGTTCTGAAAAATTAAAATAAAAAAAATATAGTTTGCATACGTATTTTATGTTATAATATGGAAAAAAAACAGTATAGGATTTAATGGTGTATTTTATTTGACGCCTAGGCACTTCCATGAAAAATTAAATAATGCAAAAAAAATTCAAAAATGATATGATTTTGGAAGTTATCAGTGTTTGAAGATAATTATTTTTTACAGATGATAAGAATATAGCTGTTCCTGGAGTTTCTGGAGCTTCTAAGTCATCAAGTTCTTCATCATCTTCAAGCAGCTGTTGTAGTAGGTGTTCTAGTAGGTCTTCCAGTAGTAGTAGATCTTCTTCCTCTGAAGATTGTGAAGACATAATTAACGATCAGAACTATGAACCAAAGAGTGATGAAGAATCAGAAGAGTGTGATAAAGAAAACAACGACGACGGTAATAATCAGCCTAATCAAACTTTATCAGCAAACCAAGACATTCCTATTCTTGTTACACCCCCAAAGAAAGGCAAGAAACGTCAACGGAATACTGAAAACTGGAAGAGAAATCTTACAAAAAAAATGAGAAATTGTGGTGAAGCCTACCAAACTCATTCAAAAAACAAAAAAAATGAAACCAAAAAAACAAGTAAGGTATCCGTGCAAAGATTGTAAACTCAAGTGTTCATCTAAATTTACCGAAGAGGAGAGAATACAGATTTTTTCAAGCTATTGGTCACTCGGTGAAGTTCAAAAACAGAGAGAATTTATTAACAAACTGATGGTACCTGTTGTACCCCAATATCGATATATTCGTGTTGGAGGTACAAGAAAACCCAGAGACAAAAACAACGCATACTATTTTGTAAAAGAAGGTAAGCAGATTCGAGTTTGCAAAGTATTTTTTGCAAATACTTTGGACATAACTGATCGCATAATAAGAACTGTGCAAGAAAAACGGAATAAAGTTTCAGACGTCCTCCTTGAACCGGACAAACGTGGAAGACACGGAAACCAGAAATCGCTAAATCCAGAAATTCGGGAAGATATAAGACAGCACATAACATCAATCCCAAGAATTGAAAGCCATTATACTCGCGCCAATACATCCCGAACATTTATTGATGGTAGCCGTTCATTGGCAGATATTCATAGAGACTATATTGAAATCTGTAAACAAAGAAATAGACCTTTTGCAAGTTACGCAATTTTCCATGAAGTATTTGTCAAAGAATTTAATATTTCGTTCTTTACACCCAAGAAAGACCTTTGCGAAACATGTGTGGCCTATGAAAATTCAAGCAATGAAGAAAAGTTGGACTTAAAAGAAAATTACGACCGACATCTTAGCGAGAAAACCTTATCCAGAGAAGAAAAGAAACGCGACAAAGAAAATCAAAATATTTGTGGAATTGTTGCAGTGTACGATCTCCAAGCAGTGATGCAGGTACCGAAAGGAGATGTTTCGGTTTTTTATTATAAATCTAAACTTAACGTATTCAACTTCACCATTTATGATTTGCAAAACAACAGTTGCGAATGTTTTGTATGGGATGAATCAATTGGCCATCGTGGTGTAAACGAACTTGGAACTTGCGTTCTAAAATATTTACAGAAAAAGGCCACCATGGAAGACGCAGAAGTAATATTTTATTCTGACAACTGTGTGGGTCAACAAAAAAACAAATTTATGTTGGGGTTGTACCTTTATGCGATCCGATTCTTGGGTATCAAGTCAATCACCCACAAGTATTTGATCAAGGGGCACACCCAAAATGAGGGTGATTCAGCCCATTCTCTCATTGAGAGACAAGTAAAAAGGCAATTAAAGGGGGGTCCAATTTATAATACAGATGGATTTATAGCCGCTATTAAATCTGCCAAAAAACAAGGAACGCCTTTCTCTGTCAATGAACTTTCGTTTGAGGATTTTATTGACATAAAACAGCTAACTTTGGATATTGGACCTCTAAATATGACAAATTTCAAAATTTCTGAAGTTAAGGTATTGCAAGTTCTTAGAGAGTCTCCCAATTCTGTAAGATGTAAAAGATCCTACAGCGATGAATTCCAAGAAGTTCAAGTAATCAAAAGAAAAAAGACCGAAAACTCTAAACTCACATTAAAGCCGGCATTTTCCAAAAAACCAGGTCTCCCAGAATCAAAAAAATCTGATCTTATGGATTTGGTAAACAAAAATCACATCCCAAAGTATTACACAAACTTTTATCAAAACTTGTAAGCGTTTAGTTACCTATTTCTATTTTACAAGCGTCTATTAATATTTGTAAGCCGTAAGTTTTAGTTGATTTATGTTCCTTTTTCAGTATTTTTATTTTGTAGTATTGTTATTTTGTATCGTTTTGCTTAGATAATGTAATATTATCAATGTTTCTAAGTATTAATATTTACTAACTTAGCATTTAGTTGATTTATGTTCCTTCTTCAATATTTTTATTTTATAGTTTCGTTATTTTAGGCGTATTTTCAATAAAATGTCTAACCCAAAATATTTTATTAATGTTTCTTCCCCAGTAAGTATTTTTATTTTTGTAATTTTTTTATTTTGTAACTTCTTGTTTATGACAAGTTGACATACTTATTAAAATTATTTGCCAAAAACTGTGTTTAAATAGTGACAAGATCGTCATATTTTAATTTGTACCTCTTTTACAAATGCATTTACGTGACAATAACGTCACAAAATGGAACATTTTTTAATATTTTGATCTTATTAACCCTTAGAATTAAAAAAACACTTTTTTTTCAATTGATTCTTAGACAAAACAATCACATTGTCTAATGGTTTTAAGCATTTTTTTTTTCAATAAATTTAAAAAAATTTTAGCTGCATCCAAAACTTAAAATTGAATTTTCTTGAAAATTAGTTTTTTGAGATATGACATTGTTGCATTTAATGAGCGATATATGAAATGAAAATTTAAAAATACATATATAATTAAACAAAAACGTGAAAAATACATATTAATTAAAAGCCTTAAAATTATACCTATAAATATTATAAAATAAAATTATATCTTACATTTAAAATACTTATATAATAAAAACCATTAAAATTATGCTTAAGGTAAAAATTAATAGTTTAGAAACTTTAAAAACTACAGAATAAAGTAAAGTTAAATAAAAATAAAAAAATTAGGTTAAACATAAGAATACACTAAATACTTAGCTATATTTAAAGTAAAAAATACTATTTTATGAATGCTTTTTAATATGAATTCAAAAATTGTGGCTTCTCATGACAAAACATTATATAAAAATTAATGGGAAAGTCCCAGTAGTTGGCTGTATACCATCGTTTAAAAAACTTATACAGAAGTAAAACACTTCACATTTATCTAAGTATATACCTAAATACAAGTGTGAAGCATTTTACTTCTGTATAAGTTTTTTAAAACATTATATTAAATTTCGTCAAAGTATCTTTCTATTTTAAAAACTCCTATACTTTATACAAAAAAATGTGGCAACACTGTGACGCACAAACATATAGTTGTTATGTTTTAGCTGTCTACTGCCATGGCAATAGTTGGCCCCGTATAAACATCTTCTCGTTCAACTGGACTGGCCTCCGACAATCCGAAACCACGTGATGACAATTGTCCAATGACAATTGTCTCGCCAATTGCCATCGTGAAAACGCGGCTTTACAGCTGAGCACATCCGAGTCTAACTTTTTCCCTTGTCGAGATTTCATTATTTTGTATTTAATTTCTTGGGTTGCAAATTTGTAACTATAGCAGGGCCTCTTTTTGTGTTCTTCCTAGTACATTCTTTAATGTTATTTGAATATTACACTGTATCGGATTATTAGCAATTTCCAAAACTACAGAATAAACACCTTTTCTCAGATTCTGTCACACTCATTTATTTATCATTATTATAAATCATTTATTTTTTCCTTGTTTTGTGACTTTGGATTTAGCAACTTATTTTGATTTTTTAACGCTTTGATTTTATCCAGGAAACTCGATTTTCAGAACTTAGTTGATCAAATTTTTCGGATATAAAGTCAACAGACCGCTGTAATGACTCATTAATAACAGGGATTTTATCATTTTTGCCACTACTACTCTTTCCAGAAGAGAGTTTTTCACTGTTTTTAGGTACCATAAGCTTTGTTTACAATTTAAACATCGAACAATATTATTGGTTATTTGACATGGCCTTTCAGTAAAGAGTTTATGGATAGCACTTTTCTGGCAAATACTGCATAATAAATATAGTTTTTGATACTGGTTTATTGCAATAATCACACATTAGAGTTGTATTGCACATATTTAACCTCCAAAATCTTCTTCTCTTCTTTAAGTACCCAAGTACTAGTCATGTCTGAAGACAATAATAAGAAACATTATGCTAATCATGGCTCTAGGATACCAAGAGTTGGCAGGAGAAGAGAGAACAAGGACGGCGAGGTTTCCCAGGTCGTTAATCAGCGAAAGTCCTCCTTACTAAACAGAGACAAAATTATATGGCAGATAAAAGATCGATATGGTGGGAACAAGCGGCACAACATGGATAAACTCTGAAAAATTCAATGTAAGGAAAGAATCTGTTATTCGGAAATTACACTCAAAACACATATGGAGTTGCTAGTATACTTAGCGAATAGAGAACAAAATCAGCATTGACTTCATGCCAATTTTCAAAAAAATTATATGGCTGCAATTGATGATAACCTACAGGAAACTACATTTAATATAGATTCATGGATCAACTGCTGATAAGCAAGAAAAAGAAAATATTAACATTGAACTTAAAAACATATATCTCACATATTACCCTATAATCTAGACGCATAACGATCATCACAGAATATTTACCGTGAAATCGGATAAATGTAGGTTTCTAGTAAGACTAGTAAGAATTGGTGTTTGCAAGGACAAAAAAAATTGTCTTATAGAATTCTGCCAAGAACATAACTAATAAAGGGTGTTTTTTAGAAGCATAGAACTTTGAAATGTAATAAATAAATGATGATTTTTAAAAATTGACATGAAATTGACTTTATTCGAAGGATAATCTTTTGGCATTATAATTTAAATATGATTTCTGGCATATGACCGTCATGGCTGGCTATGATGTAGTGTACAGTTAGAAATTAGTAAAATTAGACCACAACCCACTTAGCTATATTAAGAAAATAAATGAGAATCACCTAGTATGAAGAATTAACGAATATCGAGCTTTTAGAAAGTGTAGTAGTCACAAAAACACTATCCAGTATTACCTGATTTTATACAGATATATGTTAAAAACCTACCTAGTTGGAGTTCAATGTATATGTATAGCATAACTATATGTGCCGGCACTTTACACGTTTTCTTCATTTGCCATATTTGTCTTAGTAGTATACCAGCCTGATCCAGTTGGCCCCTCATCGTTTTGGCAACAGCAATGTTATAATGCATTACTGAATAAGCAGTTTGGATGTTATCTGGGAACCACTCTATAAAAAATACATGGTATTGATTAATATTGTTTCGAGTAACGAAGATGAGGGTAAACGTATTGGACCAATATATAGTACATATAAACAATAGTACAATATTGCATCTAGAAACAACTCAAGTACAATTACAGATTTTAGAATATTACTATCAACAAAGAATACTGTACCAAACAAAAATATAACATATAAAGACAGATGGTTAAATTATTACAAACGGATGGGAATTGAAGCAATTGTATTGGTGCTTTTTTTACGGAAAATATTTGTTTTCATGTTTAGAGCTTCCGTATCAGTCGCTCTGATGATTTCTGGTAGGAAGAAATACGTATAAGCGAATATACAGAGGCACTATACTTAAAATCAAATCTTAACCGTCTTTTCTTTTATTTTGGTTTACTCTTTATGAGTACAAGAAACCAATTCGCCAAAGATTTTTGCTTAGATAAGGAGATATGTTGTGGAATATAACTTTAAGATTCTCCATATATCTATCTTTAGCATCATCTGTTTTGAATTGCAACGTATAGAAAGCACATATTAAAGTAAAAAATTTAAATGTTGGTTTAGTCTTAGTCAGTAAAAATCTTTGCAATTCTTACTTGACTTTATTACCAGATGTCGCTAGAGCGTCCATATTAAAGCCATTTTATTGTTGCTTCTTTTGACGGAAAAGATATTTGAGGATGTGATAATATTTATAGAAGAATTACATAAAGAAATATTTTATATGTATTTCTTACATTCTTAGTCCTGGCACAGTATTATTTATGTCGTGGGGTTTATTTGGATTTTTGTCTCTAAATTCTATTTATCAGGTAGACTGCCAGTTAATGGAAAGTATATGAAGGAGGACTCATCAATGTTTTATTCGGGTTTAGAATAAAAGTTCTAGTGAATAATAAAATAAAAAAAAAAACATATAAAAATATTATTCCATATTAAGTATGCTACATTCAGGTTTATGCTCCAACAGCTGAGAGCACTGATAAAGGTGATAAAGATTTTTATCAACAATTATACAGATTAACAAAAAACCTGAGCGAACAAGATATAACCATCATAATGTGGAATTTTAACACCGAAATAGGAAGATTCTAAGTGGGTTATGTAGTTGAAGCAAAAGAATATAGCTTGAGTACAACAAATGAACTAGTTGAACGATTAATACAGTTGAAAAACCTAATTATAAGTAATACTTGGTTTAAATTCGCCGATTATGATCTGGATCAACTTAACGAAAGTTATATGCAATAAAATATGCAAAGCAAAAAAGTAATTGTGGATCACTGACGCAATATTATACCTTTGAACAGAAGAAAAAATAGAAATAATCCCGAACGATATAAAAAACTAGATAAAACTGTCTTCTGATAGACTTAATCAGAAGAACCTTTCAACAGAAAAGGACCTAATTTATGATGATCAGTAAGAACATACAAAATCCACCGATTCAACTATCTACGATACAGGGCAAATGATAAGTTGAACCATGATGTAGAGATGAAGATCCGAATTGAAATAGCAAAATCAGGATTCAAAAAAAATGAGACAGCTCTTAAGTAACCGCAATCTAAGAGTTAGCTGCCTTACGAAATAAAAAGTTGGACGTTAAAAGCAGCAACTATTAAAAAAATTAAAAGCTGTGTGTAAGCCACTTACACTAAAAGTGTAAGTGGCAGAGTGACTTCTTCAAGTGCCGTCTCCATCAATGGAGGTTAGCGGTTATGGTGGCAAACGTTTGTCTATCTTCAGCTGCCCTTAAGAGTTCCTTAAATCCAAGTCCTGTCCAGTTTCTGATATTACGTAACCAGGACAATTTTTTTCTTCCAATTCCTCGCTTTCCTTCTATTTTGCCTTTTATAATCAACTGAGGGATGTAGTATTTCTCGTTGCGCAACAAATGCCCTAAATAACTGGTTTTTCTTCTTTTGACTGTTCTCAATAGTTCTTTTTCTACATTGAGTCTAGCTAGTACTTCTTCGTTTGTTTTTAGTGCTGTCCAAGGAATTTTTAAAATTCTACGGTACACCCACATTTCAAATGCCTCAATTCTATTCAGGCTCTTTATTTTTAAAGTCCACGTTTCGACTCCGTAGAGAAGAACAGACCAGATAAAACATTTTACAAGTTTTAATCTCAATTTAATATTTATATGTGTATCGCAGAATAGAACGCGCATCTTAAAAAAACTATCCGTAGCTTGAGCAATTCTCGCTTTAATTTCTTGTTCTGGGTCCAGCTTGCAATTAATCCAACAGCCAAGGTATTTGTATTGGTTTACCTGTTCTAAAATATTCCCATTTATTTTTATAGGTAAGGGGATATTCTGTTTTCTTTGGATCACAATTACTTTTGTTTTTTTTTCGTTGATCTTCATTCCAAACTCTCGACAAGCATCCTTGAGGTGGTCTATAACCATCTGTAAGTTTGTGTCTGTATCAGCCAGTAGGACAGTGTCATCTGCATCTCGTATGCTAGATATTAGTTCTCCATTCATTTTTATTCCTGTGGAAAGGTTTTCCAAGGCTTGCTTGAATAGTAGTTCCGAGTAAAGATTGAACAGCATAGGGGATAGTATGCATCCTTGCCTTGCAGAGTGACTAATAGGTAATAAATAGGTGATGAATAGGTAAAGACATGGAATTGTTAACAACCATTAAAAAGACAAAAGTACTTAGGTCATGTGTTTCGGAATGATAAGTACAGTCTACTATAGCTTATTCTGGAAGCCAAGGTTGAAGCTACGAGAGGATTAGGTAAAATGAAAAAATCTGACTGGGAAACCTAGCGAAATGATCCCAAATGCTCGTACTAGAAAAGCAGCAAAAATAAACATGTAGCACAAAACAGAAAATATCGTGTGATAGGCCAATCTTCGGTAGATGACGGCATTTCAAGAAGAAGAGGGGAACTGGAACTCTTCGGCTTCAAATTTCGTTAACTGGATATCTCATTAGGTTTTAGAATAAATTACTCGGATGTCTACGGTCTATTCACACCGTTCGATAAATTTGGTGACTTATTCACTTATGATTAAAGATAAACTATTGAATTTAGGTGAATTAGATAGCTCCAGAGTGGCTTCAGAATGACTTTGTATACTATAATTTTATTTTACATTGATAGTTACACCTTCTCGCCCATTAACCAGTCGTCAATCTGGTTTTTAAGGTAGAAGAATTAAAATTGTTTCAGCCACTTATCGCGATAGGAGAAAATACCCTGTTCTAAATACAGCGTTATACAACCGTTTAAGATACATCAAGACTTTTCTTGACAACTCTTCCAAAAATTTTGGGCAAATTAAAATACATTTACTAACAACGACAAATGGTGTTATGAGTGCTTAAAAAAAGTTATATTTAGCAAACTAAACTTACTTGGAGGAGGATTATTTTTGACTATATCTTCATCTGACTGATCTTGTGGTAAATCAAAAGATAAATCTTTAATATTTTCAGGTTTTAAATGTTCCAAGGCTTCTGATATTTTATCTAGTAATACTAATGATTCAGCTGCATAAAGATGAGCAAGTAATCTAAAAAACGTATTTTAATTAAACATTTGATGTTACATCTATTTCCACATATTATTAAGCAAAATAAGCAAAAATCATAATTTTATAAACTAGACCATGAATATAATATAATCCAGTTCAGAAAGAAAAAAATGATCGATTTCAGAAAATTTATAACAGATATCTAATAGCTGAAGTCATAGGGAGGATCTACGGTGAGCTTTTAGTGCGACATTGGTTGATAATGCACATAATATCTACAAAAGTTATTTATAAAAAATGTGGGCAATGACAAAGACCTATGATTCTACATTGAATTTTTCCTCAGTGATTTCCTGTAGAAAATTTTGTTTTGGTGTTATTTTCATTCTTATCTTTGCTAATACTATAATAGTTTGTGTTCACTCCCTGTGTCTGCTGAGGTTAAAGTTAGGATATCTAGAATTTGCTTTGGGTGGATTTTTCTATTAGTGACTATAAAATCAATCATAGATTTATGCCCCATGGAGTTTTCAAATGTATATACTGGAGCCTATGGTCGAAAAATGTATTATTGATTCTGAGTTCGTTAAAAGCACAGAGATTAGCCATGAGTTCTTCATTTGCGTTGACATGGTGTACATTAAAACTTTGTTTTACTCCTGGAACTATTTCATTTCCGATTCGTGCATTAAAGTCACCCATGGGCTCTTCATGAGGTATTTCATCCAGGATGGTTTGAAATTGTTCGTAGAATGCCTCTCGTTCCTCCTTAGGTTTGCAGTCCTCGGGACTATAGATAGAGATGACATTTAATTTTTGGTAGTCCATTGTGATGTTCAAATGTATTATTTTTTTCGGAGATATAACGGCAGTTATTTATGTTGTCTTTAAATTTTTTATGGACAAGTATACCTACGCTTGCTCGTGCTCGTTCTTCTTTCTTCACTGCACTGTAAGCTAGGAAATATTGGTTATATTCTCTTTGGCCTTTACCTTTCTTCTTGGTTTCTTGGATTGCATAAATGTCTATATTTTTATTTATCAGTTCTTCTATTATCTCTTGGTCTTAGTTGTTGAAATAAGTAATGTTCCATGTTGCTAATCTGATTGTGGGCTTATTTTTCCTTCTCATCTTAGGTTCCGTCTGGTTCCGAGGCTTTATATCGGTTCTTTGAGCCTTGTTCCCTTTTAAAATGGGTAGGATGCTAACCTGGCCCATCAACCCTCCTCTTTTATCCGGGCTTGGGACCGGCTGTGGGCATAAACGCGACTTCTGAGCTACTCAATTCACCCAGTCTTCGCGCTCGTAACCCCCAGGCAGAGTTCAAAATAATGATGAAAATAAAATTTACTTACTTATGAACTTCCGATATTCTTGGCTGATCTAGTAATTCTTTGGAATATTCTAATGCCAAAATGTAATCTCCAAGGCACAAAGATACGTAGGCACTAGCTATTAATATTCCATTTCTAAGAACAGCAATGCCTTCGGGGTTGAGAGGACAAGAGGGCGAAGGCCCAGGACTAGGCGGTGGAGCAGGTGGTGGTATACCTATGAAATTAAAAAATATATGTGAAATAAGAATATCAAGTTAAAGTAGATTTAATCCAGCGCACAAGTCACTTACAACTCCTCTACTGACAAAGTGGAGAAATTTCTCTTTTGTTTATACATATATACCGATACGGAAAACATTTATAGTTAGTATTACAAAATTAGCGAGAGATACTAACATTATGTTTCCACCTAATAGACAGAGATCACAAGCATATTTCCTCCTACTCTGAATCGACTGAAACTCGAATGTTTTCCCGAAATACAATAAACTTACCTGTGACAAGAAACAATGGAACTGGTGGTGATTCAGTGTCAGAAGGTATTAGTAAATATGCGTTTCTCAAACATAATGAAGCAAATTCCAATGAAGGGACTGGAACTGCATATGACTGACTCTCTGTGCTAAAAATGAACATGTATTAAAATGTTGACCTTATATTATTATATCAAATGATCATAATGAGCTTCGAAAAAATATGTAAATATAAAATTGTCGATGGTGGTGTAAAAGATAACTTAAACCACTTCAAAGAAATACAAAATAAATAGCGATTAAAAAGATAGAGGTGTTGCAAAAATCATTAAAACCGTAAGAAAATTCAATATTTTGAATATGTATAATGAGACGTCTGGGAAATTACAGGTTACATCTAGTGATATAAAGGAATATGTTTGGAAGAAAACAATCGAATCTGTTTTCAGGTGGCAGTTAATACTGTAAGTACAGATCAAATATGGTGGATAGCTAGGTATATAGCATTGGGGCCGTAGAAGTAGCCTCTGGAGATGTAGGAGGTGGTGTACGAGAAATGCAAGTGTAGAAGGAAGACTACCCTGGCGTTTGAGGGATCTTATTGTAGTAATTAATAAAAAAATGGTGAGAAGTAGGAAAATATGTGAATATGTTCGTTTAAATAAAAAAAGAAGAAGATATTAGCGGTTCAAAGATACGTTAAAAGCTATCAGTAGGGCGTTATGTAGATGATTGGTTACAAAATCTTATCAAAATGTTACAAATGAGAATAGATACCTACAAGCTGATATAGAAAACCATCGAAAGGATTGACACTATTTAAATTATGTGTTGATACGTATTCCTTATTATCCCTTAGTGGTTCGAAATCATATCTTATAGGATTAGAATTGTGAATTAATATATTGTTAAAAACTGTAAAAATATAAGAAGAAAGTATTACCTATATTTCTTATCATTGGAAAAATTTGTAGCAAGTACTACTTTCTGTTTTTCCGCTGATCCTATCAACTCCGCAATTAAATTTTTTTGCTCCCCAAAATCAACTTCGTTTGTCTGAAAATAACAAAAAAAAAATTATGAATAATATTTACCGCTGTATCAGTTAATTGTTTCAAGATTTACTTCGAAACTGTCCCCGTAATCCCTAAGAAACTACAGGAGTACACGGTTTTCAAAGCAACGTTATCAAGAAACAATTTTTTTCGTATAGTTTGTACTACATAGTTTTTATTCGTACAAGCAATTTTCTATTTCCTATAGGTTGTGGGTAGTATTTTAAGTAACTAACAATGCAATCTGATTAAATTTTTTGCATCTAATGTAGTTTTAAGACACTAGTTGCTCCCTCAAAATTACTTGGTCTAGACAGCAGAGACCGCCATATTTATAATAAATAATATCTATTATTTGAGAATAATAATAAAAAGAATAAAAGAGGGCTGCGACAGGGATATATACTATATATATATATATATATATAATATATATATATATATATATATATATATATATATATATATATACAGATTGAACGAAATAAATTCGGAACATAGGAATATAATGTATTTCGGCTCAATTCTGCTGTAGGTGCTTGGCCAACAAAAGATTGTCAAATAATTATATTATAAAAATCCAACACTTCAGCGGGCTGCTGGATTCTGAACTCATAAAAATTGAAAGCTACACATAAATCTACGATTTTATTATGCTGTCAAACCAGTTATAGTCCAGGAAATGAAGTATTTCACCTCGCAATTTTTTCGTGCTGCGTAGATTGACTTGAAATTTAACAGAAGGTAGGTAATAGTCTAAGGATCAAAATCTATATCGAACCAAAGTGCGCCAAAGCCTAGGGGGTGGTTGCCACCCCCTCTCCGGGGTGAAATTTTTTTTACGTTTTAACTACAGGTTTCGATTAAAAAAGTGATTCTAAACAAAAAATGTGCTATACATTTTTTTTATAAAATGATATTTTTCAAGTTATTCGCGATTGAAAGTAACAACTTTTAGACGAAAAAATCCACGTTTTTAATCGATTTTTCGCGAATAACTCGAAAATGGTGCATTTTATCAAAAAAATTGTAGAGAACAAATTTGTAGCTTTTAAAAAGACAAATACAATTAATTTTTTAAAATGTTATTGCGATATAATAGGAACCAAAATACGGCCTATCAATGTTCAGCGGTTTTCTTCAAATGCCAAATTTGAAAGATTCAAAGTCAAATATGGGGAAAATGATGCATTTTTGGAAGAAAACTCACAAAACCAAAGAGCATAAATAGACCTATGATAAAAAAAGACTCTAGCTCAAAAATTGAGCGAGTTATGATGAAAAAAAGCTCAATACCTCATTTTTTACGAAAAAATCGATGAAAACAACCCCCTAACCACCCCCATAATTAAAATCGATCTTCATTCTTCTGCAATTCCCTTTGTACATGTATTGTTAATACGTACAAGAACGAATACGTACAAACGATTTACAATTTCATATTTTTTACCCTTCTTTTTTTAAATATGCCCGAAAATACTGAATATATGAAAAAAATAAAAAAAAACCAAATTGTAGCTTTTTTAATGACTAAAATTATCCTTTATTTAGATTTGTTGTACAATGAATATTTGACGAGATATAGCCGTTTAAAGCATCGATTTACGATCAAGCACCATCTTTTTCGAGCCCTTTAAACTCACCCCATTTAAAAACCAAGGGTTCCAAAAAGATTTAATTCACAGATCCTTGTAGCTCTTAAAAACCTCTACAAATCGTTTTTGAAGAAACACTCTATCGTTAAAAATTAAAGGAAATACGTTAAAAAAACCAGTTAATTTTTTTCCGGAAAATTCCATTAGTATAGTACAGTACATTTCGGAGCATAATATTCTACAAAACCGGTATATTAGCTAGTGGGGCGTTATACATTCGAAATTTTAAGCGTTCTTATTTTGAAATCCCATACAACAGAATAAAACATCTGCTCATATGTCTATGGCTTGACAATGAAAATATCAGAGCAACAGATTGGGGATGGTATTCCAAAGATGGTTTGTTATTACCCGTACGCATGAACAAACAACCTACACCCGATGAACTTTTGAAAATTATTTTTTGCCAATGCAAAAAAGGATGCGGCGTTTCATGTGGGTGCAGAAAAGTTGGTTTATACTGTAACTCTACTTGTTCTGGGTGCTCAGGTGAAGGGTGCAATAACAGTCCACCAATAATTGAAGAAGATGAGGATGACATAGATCACGATGAAGATGTAATTGATGACGAATAAAATTAATATTATAATTGTTTTACCTATAAATGTCAATATTTTCAACTATTTATGTAAATGTATAAGAATATATGGTGCCTTTTTATGTTGATAATTTTTTTTGTATTTAATTTTACTTTTTTCAATTTATATCTTATAAAATAGTTTATAAAAACTGCAATGTTGTAAAGGGTGATTTTGAAACGTTGCAAAATTTTGGCAAAAAATTGTTTTCACCTATAGCACTCATAACAATTGATTTTTAAGGGTTGAAAATGTATGAATTTGTATTTTAAAGTATAAAAAAATCACTATTTAACCAATCCAAAACAAATTTCACTCATCTTAAGATTTGTAATAATATTTTACAATTTTTGAAAACTAGGGGTAGTTTTCACCCCTAAGAACAATTAGGGTTCATCTGCATGACATAAACTATAAAGCAGAGGGTGAGTTGAGCTTAATTCCAAATTTTTATGCAAATCGTTCCAAGGTGAAATCATTTTCTTCGCATTACTAAATTTTTTATATGAATCTCTAATAAGGGTCGCTTTTTAAGGGTTGAAATATGATGAAACTTTATTCAAAAGCACGAAACTATCATTATTTAATTAATTCAAACCAAATTTTACCCATATTCAGGTTTAATATGTTATTTTATAATTTTTGACAATTAGGGGTAGTTTTCACCCCTAAGAACAATCAGGGTTTATCGACATGACATAGGCTATAAAGCAGCGGGTGAATTGAGTTTAAATCCAAATTTTTATCCAAATCGATCCAAGGCGAAATCATTTTTTTAGAATTAGTAATTTTTTACATTAATCTCTAACAAGAGTTGCTTTTTAAGGGTTGAAATATGATGGAACTCTATTCAAAAGTATAAAATAATCATTATTTAACTAATTCAAACCAAATCTTACCCATATTCAGTTTTAATATGTTATTTTATCATTTTTGACAATTAGGGGTAGTTTTCACCCCTAAAACCCTTCAGCGGACTTCGGTTCGATATTTTTGAACGATATTTTATACAATGTCTATACCCAGGTATGGATTTATTTTTGTCCAAGTTTTATATTGGTCCACTATTTCAAATGCAGTTCAAACAGACATGTATTAAATTGTATGTTCCGTTTTAATTTGGTTCAATCTGTATATTATTTAGAACACAGTATGAATATAGCGCTAACTAATATAATATAGACGATTTGCTAATGGCACTGTAATTTTTGCCGACTGTCTGGAAGGTTTGCAGTCTAAGGGGTAGCTGAAGTAAGTAGCAGGTTTGTGATTGATAATAGGTGTCCCAAAATTCATGCAAGATTTGCATTTGCCGCCATTTATGAAGTAAAATGTTGGCAAAACACAAAACAGTTTGACAGCTGACAGTTTAGGGTTAGTACGAATGGAGTGTTACCCGAGAGAACGCGTTTTCATTATTAACAATATTTTAAAAATAAAAATAATGAAAGTTTAACAGACACAGTTCGAAAATTTCGTACAAAATATTCCAGACACCAGTGAATTCTAGTCTAAGTAAGAGCTTCACTTAGAATTTTAACTACTACATTAGCTTTTTTGTTTTTTTGTTCCGGGTCAGGGATAGATGCAATGCCACTAAAGCATTCAACAATAAACCGAATACGAATTAGTCGCCTAGCTCGCCTGGCTATCTAAATATTTTTTTTTATAGATAATTCATAAAAGAATGTTTACCTCTTTATGAACCATTATACAACATTCAGCTAAACGCATCCACAACCTGGAATTCCTGTGGTACCTCCTAACAGCGATTATTAAACAATCAAAAGCTTGAGTAGGTCGCTTTGAATGTAACAAAGCAATTCCCAAATTGTACATCAGTTCATGATACTTTGATCCCCCTAATGTATAAAGTGGTTTATCACCTAAAAATTTAAAATAATTATTCAGCGTTACATATTTTTTAAAGTTTTAGTAATGTATTAGTCTAGCGGGGATCTGTTTTGAATGGGACATTTTCCATAGGAGTCTTACTTTTGCATAATAATTTTGTATTCCAGGGTCCGCAAAAAATTGCAAATGTAACAGAACAGTATGGCGATGATGAACCATTTGCTGAAATCCTAAATTCGCATGAAGATAATTATTACGAGCTCCAACTATACGTAAATAATATTCTTTTAACATATACTCACTATCATCCTTTTTCTGGTATTGCTGCATAATTTTTATATCCTCTTTTAGTGCCATTTGAAAATAATGACAAGCTAAATTTGGTTTTCCCATAGCGTAGTGGATCGCTCCCATGTTATTGTAAAACATGATAGTTGAGGACTCACCACAGTCGCTAAAACATGACCGTATTATTCAAATAAATATGTCAAAAATTTTAATTGGATTTTAAAAACTATATTGTTATAATGTATTACTAGTCAACAATATATCCATCTTAATTTCAATTTCCTTATGATCAAAACAAAAAGCTAAAACGTGTATTTCTATTTTAAATTAAAAATTTTTTTAAGTAAAAAATTAACATTTGTTTGATAACAATCTTCTCCAACCTATGATCGTCCACTGCTGGACATACACCACTTCTATTTATTTCCATTGATGTCTACTCTTAGCAATTCTCATCCATTGCTTGTCTACCATATGTTTAAAATCATCCGTCAACGTCTTCTGCGACCTGCTTATTCCTCTCCTGTTCTTCAGTTTGCGACCTTTTCTCTGCGTCCATTTTTCAGGGTTGTCTTGAGCAAGACAGCCAACGCATTGGCACTTGAACCTCACTATACGTTCCAAAGTTATATAAGCTGTTCTAAAGTTCTAATTTTTCGATGCTGCCCTTGTAAAACGATTTATCTTTGCCTTCCTAAAATAGGCTTTCCTCATCTAAGCGACTTAGTGTCGTTGCGTCCTAACTCTATTTTACTTTATCTTTGGTACCTCGCGTTTTTAACAGCTGGTAACCCTAATTTTCTACCATTGTTTTTCAGGAAACTTAATATACTCATATTAAGAAAAAATTAACTTTAATTTTATATTAAAAACATGCATATACGTCATGAGTAGCCTATTTTATTAAAAAAAAGGAACAAAATAACATATTTGTCAAAAACTAATTACTATTAATTGAATTAAAAATATTTGCGGCCACTTTTTGACTGGCAAACTATTATCAATATATTCTCCTAATGAACACAGTTCGTAGTTTGGTGTCCTTACTTTAAAAGCTCGATGTTGCCAAATAATTTTGTAAGAAGGTTTTGTATTGTGGTGTCATATTGCGTTTTATTATTTTTATTGCGAATAAGGCACAATGTGACTTTAAAATAAGCTTATTTTGATGTTTAGATTTCTAATTCGGAAATCGTACTTAAAATACGAAACATTAATAAATTTTATTTACATAAAACGATTTCCGAAGTGGAAATCAAAATGTTAAATTAAACTTATTGTAAAGGAAAATTGTGGCATATTTAAAATAAAAAAATTAATTCGCCCAAATTTGATTATCTTAGAACGTTGTTAAAATGCTAAAAAGACAACACGTCAAATAAAACCAATAAGTGGCAACGTTGAACTTCTCCTCTTTTCTTAGTTCCACTAATGCTATTTCGACGATATAAAGGGCGGACCTAATATACCTCTCTCTTTTTTAAAGGTGTATATTAATTAATTACTGAATAGTATAAATAAGTTTAGTAGTAGTATAGTAATAATAATATAAATAAGTTGTATGTTGATAAAAGAGGTGTAATCTTCATGTTCCTAAATATTTTTATGTGTTTGAATAAAATATACGTACTGATAGTTAAGGCAGCCGTTTGGTATTGATGTTAAAATCTGCACAGCACCTTCATAATTTCCTTTGATGTATTCGATGTTTGCAGAAAGAAACATCGCGTCGATATTCTGAAACATATTAATAGTATGTATACATGGACCTTCAGATATAAACTTAGTTTCAATTTTTTTAATAAAGTATGTAATGCAAAAACAGAATAAATGAATATGACGTTCAAAAAATGTTGTTTTGAACACGATTTTGTTATTTTAGGTTTGATATGGAATTTAAAGGTTAAAAAAATGAAAGTTAAAATTATTAAAGAACTTTAGTTGTGCTATTTGACATATTAGTGTCTCATTAGGAGATTTCCATGATATTTCTTAGTGTTGTGGCATTTTCAAGGTTTACAAAACAGCCTATGGTACCCTTCATTGGAGTGTTGTTCTTCTTTAAGTACACGCTTATCTTTTGAGTTTTTTTCAATATTTTCTGATCTGAAAACCGCCTTGTTTAAGTATTTCAATTACAATAACAAATTTGTATTGCAACTTTAAAATTGTTGGTTTAAGAGCTCGTTAAGAGGGCCCCGTTTAAGCGATCGTTCACACAAAAATAATTTTTAATGACTTTAGACAATTCAAGACTTTTATTTTCATTATGTTCCACTAGATTTTTTTTATTTCTGTGAATTTTTCTAATCCATACCTGTAACAATTTCTCACATTCATATAAGAATGAATTTGGATTAGTTGCAAAATATCCCAAGTTATCGATTTGTAAGTCTTCATTGTCGACGTGAATCTTGGGTTTGTTCCTTTTACTTATAAACTGACCAAACTAAAAACAGTTGTTCAACAAACGTTTCACAGTTTTATGATTTGGTGTACGTTTCTCACGATATCTCTCAGCAAAAAAACTGCAAATTCTGGATACTATTCTGTTACACTCAGCGTAAATTATAATTAAATTTAAAAAATCATCGTTGTAAATGAGCCATTATTATTTTGTCAAGAAAATTAGGCAAAATATTATTATAGCTATCACTCAACAATATAAAACTATAACGCTTACTATAAAACATTAACAATAATTGACATTTGTCAGAATATTCCATAGGCTAGGGCTAGATGATAAATAAATGTTTGTGACAAAAAAGTATAAAATTAATTTTTCTTCAAACGTCAAATAATGATGACATTACTTATCTAACTCGATAATGTCAAAGTTTGATGTCTCCGCCGGCAGCAGTTTTTTTCCATTTCTTTACGGTGGGAAAAATGTTGTCATGGCAACAATATGAAACATGTCACAAAGCAACAATACAAATGTCATTAACAACAATTAAACATCATTTTTATTTATAGTAATATTAAAAGTACAATTAGTTAATGAGGCATTTTCAAAATTGAAACCGTGCAAAAATGTTCCCGACTCTTGATACGCATTGGTAATTGTTGATGATACTGATGGTTGAGAACAAATTAAAGCAATCATTCCCGATGTTGGCGAATCATGAAGGTTTAAAATATTTTGAGCATTATCGTTCTTATTTCTTATTGAATTCTCTATATATCCTTCGGCAACCGTGCTTGATTTCCAGCCCCCATGTCGTTTGAGATATTCTAGATTTCCGCCTCCATCAATTAAAAGTGTTGCTGAAGTTCGTCGTAAAGAGTGACCCGTGTATGCGCTTGCATCGAATAAATTTAAATAACTAGCTACTTTTTGGGCTACTGCGCTGATCGAATGTATTCCCATGACGCTTCGGTAACACTTTCCATTTTGGTACTTGATAAAAAATCGGTTTGCTGTGAAATTTTCAGGCCGCAGTGATGCTTACTTTTTATACAGTTTAATGTAGTTTTGACCAATTATCGTAAAAGATCTAATTTGTCGTGTTTTACTGTCTGGGATTTTGATAATTATTACATTTTCTTTATCCTCAATGTCCACAGTCTTCATTTTTACCATTTCGTTGCATCGAGAGGCGCCGGTAACCCCAATTAACAAAACAATCTGAAATATTTTTATAATTTAGTATAGTATACTACATGCTTTGCAATATAATTGTTTTACCTTTAATCCTAAATACAACTTATCTGGCGCTTCAAACAAAAATTTATCAAACTCGTCTTTAGTGAAAACTTTAGACTTCTTTGCAGTATATCCTTCGCTTGTTTTTTTCAGAAAGGCACGTAACTTTAAAATTTGCTTATATCCACATTTTTTCTAATAACTAATTCGGATTTTATCATCGAGTATCGTGACCACATTGTAGAAGATTTCCATTTATTTTCATTTTCCATTATATTAAAATATGCCAGTAAAACGTCTTCGGCAACTTGCCGTACTCCTCTTGTATCGCACCACTCTTGGAAGTGCTTGTACGCTAACAGATACTTTATTCCGGACTTGGAGGGCCCCAAACATGCTACTGCATCATTAGCCGCGGACTCAATTTCGTTTTGGTTTTCCATTTTCGCACTAAATTTGCGCTTGCAGTTGTAACAACAATAAGCTGTCTTTAATAATTGCAAACAACTGTAACCAGGGAGACGCAAATCCCACCGACGACTTAATTATTTTAATTTCTAACATCTAGACGACTTTAATAGTTGTCACAGTTAATTTCGAGTAAAAATAGCGTATGAATTGTACTATTTATGGTTGAAAATTGCTCTTCGACTTTTTCGGCAAAGAAGTGACTTTTCTTGACTTGCCCTCTATTACGCACCGAACGAAGTGAGGGCGTAATAGAGGGCAATGTAATATCGGGCGCGTCAAGAAAAGTCATGCTTCTCCGCCTCATAAAGTAATATACTATTATTTGAAAACTGCAAGAGATAGGTATAGGAAATACTAATGCAGATCGATAGTGAGAAACGTATTTTTCTAAAATTAGGAATCATATACGGGGTGTCCCATTTGAAAAAAAGAAATTAGCCGAAAATGTAAAATGTTGGTTTTATGCTAATTATGACAGCACCCTGTGTAATGACAATAGAACTGCATGTGGTTAATATGCTTCTAATGATTTTAAACTTTTATTTAAATTAGATTAGAGGATATTGAACCTTATAAACAAGGTAAAAAAGTGTAATTTTCATATAAAAACCATTATAACTCAAAAACGGTTCACAATAGGTATAGGGAAGTATTACCAAAAATGTTAAAAATAACGTAAATATTTCTAAAATTAAAAAATATATAGGGTGTCTAATTAAAAAAAAAGCGTAGCACTTGGGAACGTGAGTGCTAACAGAACTGAGTACTTCTTAGTCTATCTTGTTAATGTCTTCTTCTAAATTTTTTGTCCTTATTTGATCTTCTATTTGCTGTCTATATACATTTGCAATGTTGGGATCTTTAGTTTATTAATATCGATTTTTTCTCTCCTTTTCCCGATCTCCTGTTTTTAATTGGATATTCTCTTTAAATCGTGCTTTAACTAAATAGTGATCACTATATATGTTTGATCCTCTAAAAGCCCAACATCTAATAAGTTTTAGAGCAGCGTCTTGCATCGACGATTATATGATCTGTTTGGTTAATCGTTTAATTATCACTAGATTTCCAAGTTCCCTTATGTATATCTTTATGAAGAAATCCTGTCCCAACTATTCCTAACTATTTTTCTTCTATATCTACGTAGAATTTCTGATATATGTGTTTGTAATCTTTAGTAATATTTCTAGTGCATGGGACGTCAAACTAATGGTACGGTGACCGCTATATTCTCTTCTAACATTTCTCTTCCTACGGAGCAAATAAAGGTCGAAGTCAACCATGAGTTCCAATAACATACGAAAAATTTGGAGAAAATTGGAGAGAGCTTTCCACAAAATTGAGCGAAAAATACTTCACAAGAGAGTGCGGTGGTGAGCTTTTCAAAGCAAGACGTAGTAGTCTAAACACTCAACATCACAGATTTATTGATTGTGTATAAATTTTATATTAAGTAATTTGAGTGTCTTTGTTAATTTTCTCTAAAACTAAAAATTGAAATTCTCATTTAAATCACTCTGTATATCAAAGGCAAAGTAATTTTCTTAATTTCTTTTCTATGTATGTCAAGTGGTGCTATTTATTAAGTCTATTGAAATATAAAAGTCATCATAATAATTAAATTCGATAACTTAATTACTTAATCATTTATGCTACTTTAAAATCAATATTAGCAAAGACGGATGTTAGTATTGAACATAAAGTGAATAAATAAAATGAACCTATCAACTGAATTTTACGACGCATACAAATATGTACTTTTTTTGACCAAAGTTGTAGGTATGTCTGCTTTTTCATCCGGTAAACCGACATTGGTAAAACAGTCAAAAATTGGAATAGTATATTGCGTCATAATATACCTAGGGTATTGTGGAGTTTTAGTTAGTGTAAAATACGATGTACACGATTTCACAACAACTATTCACGATATAATGCAAATTGTCAACACGATGTTCATCACCATTTTAACTGTAACAGCCGCAGTGTCCCAAAAGAAGCATTTTGAATTTCTTTGTGAATTAAACAGTATGAGCGTTGTGCTCCAACAGCTACGAGGAGTCGTTGATTACAGAAGTATTTCTAAAATTATTAATGCTGGCATATTTAAAACAGTTATAATAAGTTTCATACTTACCGTTTTAGAAGTACTTCAACGTCCAAGTATGGAATACATAAAATTTATATCTGGATTTATATTATTTGTTTACCCACAATTCATATGCGGGGTATATTGTATTCAAATGCTATTTTATTCATCTTTTATTAGAATGATCTTTAATTTTCTAAACACTGAAATGGACAACATTGCAGATAATTCTTTAGATTCTGTATTTTATATTAAAAAACCCCTTAATACCATAATTGTTCTAACAAAATTCTCGGAAGTTTACAATAAACTCACAGAGATGATAAGGCGAATGAATGAAACGTTGGGCTTTACAAGTTTGGTGTTCTTTTTTTTAGTATTCACAGAAACTGTCGTTGGGATATATTTTACTAGCAGTTTAGATGTTAATCTATGGAAAAAATCGTTGTCACACTTTCTCAAATCCATGGACCATTTAGTTAATGCCTTTTTAGTATGTTATCTGTGTAATACTACGATCAAAGAGGTAATTTT